GCGAGTCGGATTATAAAATATTAAAATGTCATTATTGGTCAGACTCTAAAACTGTCTTAGCTTGGATTAAATCAGACCCGCGCACGTTCAAGTCGATTGTCGCACACCGATTGGCTGAAATCGAAAGCTTAACCACTCCAACCAATTGGCGATGGGTACCCAGCTCAGATAACGTCGCGGACGACGCAACCAAGGGCGTACCTGTCAACTTTAATTCGAGACATAGGTGGTTTACCGGACCCGCGCTTATAAGGAACGACCCCGCGACGTGACCGCAGGACAAACGAAATAAAACGCCGTTACCCCCTTCAGGGGAAGAAAGAATATTGAAACAAGTTCACTTAATCATTAAGCGTAACGTTAGCGATTACTTACCTGAAGTGGAACGATTTTCGAAATACAGTCGATTAGTTCACGTCGCTAAAAGCACTCTCGCTCGCGGCGAGCAAAACCACCGTTTTACTCGCCGATGAGATATTTAAAGCCAAGTTACTCAAAAGAAACGCAAATATTGAACTCGCACCGAGCCATATAAAATTAGCAGAGCTATTGGTCATAAGAAGAAGTCAATATCACTCATTCGCCGAAGACATCGCGACCTTAGAGGCCAGGTGGCGACCGCCCAAGAAGCCACCGTTCTACAAACCTTGTTTGATGCCCCGGCCTCTCGGCTCATCGCAATTACAACGACGGACTAAAACGGGTTTTTTTGGGCTAGCGCACGAGGGGGAGATTGTAAATAACAGCCTAGATTTAAGACGTTATTAATGTGAATGCCTTTTAATCTATGTAGTTATTTAAGTTTTAGTCACGGTAGTTTACAATTCTACGTAAGCTTATTAATGTTTTATTGCCCTTTATTTGAAGAATTGTTGTATGTCTTTATAGTGTTTGTCGTATACTTATTTATAATTGTTTGTAAAGAATTGTTGTATGTCAATGTATGATTATAAAATAAATTATGAGTCACACTCAACATACACCCCGCACACTTCCCCTCCTATCTGCTCATTGGTCGAATAGAGCATGTGTGTCTCGCATACGCTCGCACGAGTTGTGCAACTAAAAATACAAAATAAAAGACATGCTATAATCGACCTCTGACATACCAGCTCATTACTCGTTACTCGCTCCTCACTCGCTTTGTCAACAGTCATCTCCACGCTGCCCTACAAGCTACACTCTACAAAACAGCTCTTGTTTCTTATACAAAGAATAGTTTTATTCAACTTCACATAACACCTATGGTCAATAAGAAGTCTACGTCTGAACGATACGGAGCCCTGCAAAAGCTCCCACTTCGTTTAGTGGTCCTTCGAGCTGCGGATCCCACTTCGTTTAAGTATCCCCATAGTTTAATGTAACCACTTCCTTATTTTAGTTTGACATTCGTGAAGTGATAGTGGATAAAAATTTAGAATTTTGTTAACTTTATTATAAAGATACCCAGAAAAAAAACTTCTTTGTCACCCTGCTAATGCAGTACGGCATCTTAGGGGATCAATAACATTGGTAATTGTACGCTTATTACGTAATTTATTTGGGTTTAGTTGGGTTAGAAACATGCTGTTTGGTGATGATGTGGTAAATAAATAACTGCCTTACTGTGAGAAATTGACACATCTCATAAAGGCTATTGGTGGGGAATCTATAAGGCTTAAATGTCATTGTTTTGAGCAAAAAACGTTGAGCTCTCTCAAGGTGTATGATGTGTTTTTCACGTGCGCCTCCCCATACTCCGATGCAATAGCCAATGACAGAGTGAACTAGTGCATCTTAGATTAATGATAAATCGAGCGCGCGACTAAGATGACTAAGTAGTGCATAATATACAGTGCAAAGCTCTAGGTCGGTTACATGCCTAAGATTCTTGAATATCCCATGTTAATTTCCTGACTCGTGACACAATCATGTGTATATGTGGTTTCCAAGTTAGTTTCTCATCCAATAGTACTCCAAGATATTTCACCGTAGGTGTTTTATTTATAGGTTGACATTTGCATTGTTGATTTGTTAAGAATTTGCATGTGTGAATACGAATATTCACGTTCTGATGTTTTATTCCAGAATTAATAAACTGAACGTATGAGGTTTTGGATACATTTAAGGTCAGTAGATTATGTTTAAGCCACAAGTCAGCTTTATGTAGTCCCATTTCATCATTGTGTCGAACTTCATCCCAGGTTTTCACACGAAACACGAAGGCTGTGTCGTCGGCATATGTGAAAATTTTGCTTTGATGTAGTGACATTTGACAAAGATCGTTTATGTATATATTAAGAAAGAGGCTGGGAGCAAGCACACTGCCTTGTGGAACCCTACAATTAACAGCTACGTCTGAACTGTTTTCTTTTATTTTAACTTGTTGCTGACGTCCCGTCAGTAAATTTTAAGCACCGGCCCCCGTACGCCCTCTTTCTAACTTGTCCACAAGAATAGGGATCGACACAGTGTCAAATGCTGTGGCAAGATCAATAATAACTCCAACACATTTTTGTTTGTTATCGAGACTTTCTGTAACATACTCTACCAAAGAACTGACGGCTCTGTTTGTACTTTTCCCCGCTCTGAATTGGGAGTCTGAAAGAATGTTATTTTGTTCCAAGAATTTTAACAGTTGGTTATTCATGATTTTTTCTAACACTAGATAATTTGTTACACTGTCTCGTGCCCCACTCTTGTGGGCAGGTACAAAACCAAATTTATAAAATTCACAAAAATGACAAGGTATTTTTGCAATAAAACTTTATTTAAGCTTGGCAATTACGTGTGGACTATAACATCTCTCAAATGTTCACCTCTTGCACTATGGCTAACGAGAGCTCTTTTCATTGCGTTTCTCATCATAATATTTTCGCACACTTCCGGTGTTATGACACCGACTGCATCTCGGATATTCTGTATTGACTATTGAATATTAATTTTCTTTTTAGTATGAACGTCGCTTTAGACAGCCCCACAGAACAAAGTCAGGAGCTGTCAAATCTAGTGATCTTGGTGGCCAATCAATGTCACCATTTCTTGAAATTAATTGATCTGAAAACATTATTCTCAATGTTTCGATTGTGTCACGTGCCGCATGACATTTGGACCGGTCTTATTGGCACCACATGTTTTCTAAGTCCAACTGATTCAATTGATGATTCAAAAAATTACGGTAACAATCACCATTCACTGTTACAGCAGCACCCGTAATATCTTAAAAGAAGTCTCCTGACTAAATTCCACACCTAACCGTTACTCGACGTGGGTGCAGTGGCCGTCTTTGGATCAAATGCTGTTCTTTTTTTCTCTCTTGCATTCTTCACGCGAATTTTGTTTATTGTCAAATCCACGAGGTCAAAATTGACTTCATAACTCATAATGATTTTTTGATGAAAATTGGGTTGCTTTTCAAATTGGTTAGCATAAAACTACTGGAGTTACATCCGCTTTCACGCTTCCAAGGCTTAACTTCTTGAGTTCTCTGAACCTTATATGGGAATAGAGGCTGGTCTTTTTTCAGAATAGTCTGTAGAAAGGTTCTCTTAATATCCAATTGTTGAAAACGTTACCCGGTAGACAATATCGGATCTTCGGCTATACTTTCACGAACACTTCTAGCACGATGAGTATCTGGTTTGTTTGGTACAATGTCATGCTACTCAAAATTATCCACCAAACAAGTTGTTATTAGCCGCGAAGGTAAGTAATTTTTATCGAAAATTGGTTGCAATTTTCTGAGCGTTTCCGTAAAAGAAGATTGATTTGAGTAGAACGTTTCTTCAAGCGAAAAAGTTCCATACTGAATTTGCCCTAGCTACAAAACTATGGAGTGTAGAGTAGAAGGAGAACCATCTCTGTATATGAAAAGTGTCCCTAAAAACGCGTCCAATAAGGGTGGCGCTGTAGTAGCATAGGATAAATTTAAAGCGCCAAAATTTATTAGAATAAAATGGAGAAATAAACAAGGACCGACCAATCCGCTTGGTTTTGTACTACGTAAATAGTTGAGGTTTTGTATACTGGCATTTTACTAACTACTCTAGTCATGAAATTTTTTAAATATTTGAATTCAGCTGACTTCACTCCGTCTACAACAGCTATATTCATATCGTAGTTTTTCAGACGCCAGCGCTATTGTGGTAGGTTTTGGAACCTCTATTTTCAGTATATATTGGGATACTTTTTCAACTTTCGCACCTTATAAGATGGTTCTCCTTCTACTATACACTCCATATACACAACATTGATTGCTACTGAAGCTGAACAACTGTCAAATTTGCCGCTAAAACAAAATGGCGGCAAAAAAGTTTTTTACCTTTACGTTGGCCAGCCTGTACTTATATTGTCACGAAGAGTTCAAAAACCATCTTCGATTTCCGCAAATCCCCTTTTCATTTCCTTGCTCTTTCTGAGCGAATCACGCACGATACACATGTCAGTAGCTCGGTTTCATGCCTATGTGGTAAGAGGGCTTTATGCACAGAACGCAGCAACTACATCTCCTATAACTTCGTTGGGAGTGACGAGGCACAATATTATTTGCACGCTACGATTCATGTATATGTGTAGCCAGAGCAGCATAATGACTGATTTTGTTTTCCATAACGATTACTTATATTTATGCAAACACTACACAATGAACGAAACTATTTTTACGGATTTTATCTCGTTTAATTTACTTATTTTAATTACCGACGTTTTGGGTGTTTTACAGCAAACAGCAACCCATGGTCACGGGGGTTCGACGTCCTTCAGTTTTTGAATTTTAATTTTTGCTTCCATCTACGATCAACCCCTGTTGTGTGTTGTGTTGTGGGTGTTTTACAGCAACCCCTCCCCCGGGGTTGCTGTAAAACACCCGAAATGTCCGTAAATAGTGTTATTTAAAGATTTTGTTTTGTTTTGAATGTTTTAGAGTTGTGGTCATAATGTACTTCAATTAAACTTTTATGGCAGAAGAACCCATCCCTTTGAAATTATGACCTAATTTTTGTAAAAATAAAAAGCAATATTTTGTAAATATAAAAATGTATTATGTTGCAATAATCAACAAATAACAGACTTACATAGTTTTGCAAGTAGCAGGCACTGTATAACACATTTCTCACTAAATTCAGTATCACACAAAATTATCATTTATTATTATTTTACATCTTATAGAAAAATCAAGGTTCAAAAATGTTGGTTTAAAACCTAAGTACAATTATTAAATAATTCTGTTTAAGTAAAAATCATTGGTTTTTTATTATCACCGAAAAATAAAGTTTTTTGCATTTTTTTTTAAATCAAACCAGCTTATAATTAAGTACACAAAAGTTTAGCACCGCTAAAACTAATAATAAATTACACAAACGATACACACAATACAAGATTCATGATATTCTTGGAGCAGATTAAAAGGTGCAAAAATATTGCGAGATTATGTAAAATTGATTAAATTACAATATTATACATACAATTATATAATATTCGAGCTCATTGTTTTTTCAATTTCAAGTATTCGAATACAATAATTATTCACTAGGATATTTCGTAATTACATTATTTTGTAGGTAACCACGCTGTACAAATAATTTGTACAACATTATCAATAATTACAATCACTTTCTATTCTTAAAAATATTTCGACGCGTATATATATAGTAACTAATACCGAATTATTTAATGTAATATTTTGTTTATATTAAGTAGCATCAAAATATTATTTATAACAATAAACGATTTTTAATTAGTCAATAACTTTCGTGTATAATGGCAGGCATGAATAGAGTTAGTTTGTAATGAAGTCATTTAAATTTTGTGATTGCTCTTTGAAAACAACAAAACAGGGCAAGCGTTTAGCGCATTCGGAGCTCTAAATTCTACCTAGCTGTGTATGTAAAAATTGCTTCTAACTTTTATTATTCTGAAGACAAAGATTATCATTGATTTTTATAAAGAACAAAGTGAATTTACTTTAAAATGGTAAGAACATAGTTTCTTGAATTAAATATTAGTAATATTATATTACGGATCTAATATTTTCAACAAATACTGTAAACTCCTAGGAGCATGTTACAAAAATGAATAACATTTAAGATGTTCTTATTATAAAACTGTAATGTTCTTAAAATAAAAGAAGAGATAAAAACGATTTTAGACGATTTGGAAACGAGAGATAAAAACGATAGAAAAGGTTGTATAAAATGTTTTTAAATTTTAATATTCTTGTGCTACCATCAAATGTAATTCATTATTGTTTCATGTGTTAAACTAAGTGAATGAAATACAGTCAATCTTCACTATTTTTATTCGTAAAATACATTAAGACCCGTAGCTATTGCCTTGATACGAAAACGTTGACGCTATGTCCTGTGCCCAAAATAATATGTTGTCCAAGTTACACTCTTACAAAGATGATTTCTTAAACTTAAAATTGTCATCGACCTTTTCAGACCTTCAGAATTACCTACAGGAACACTTAATGTGTTATGTTAAATTATCCAACGATCAGTGTGTGGTGTCTGTTTTCCACTGATACTTTTGTTCGTATGCCTGAAACAAAGATATTTATAAATATTATTTCATAAACTGATTGGTCAGCAAACATTTCAACGCCAGATATAGGGCACGGTATCTATCACTCGCAGATACCAACCGCAATAGACACCCACAGCGCGTGGCAACTTACTTGTAGGTTGCGAGTTATGCTCGCAGGAGCGGTAGACGAATTGCGCGTTCCAATTTTCAAGACGACTGCTACGAAGCAGTCGTCTTGAAAATTGGATCGCGCATTTTGATTTTAGTAATTATTCCTACTTTACTACAGAAGAGATATTTTTAAGGAGGCCTTTAAGTTTTGCATATCAAGGAGCTGGCAAGTGAATTTTTAACTAATTTAGAAGAGCTCGTAACAAAAAACCAGCTAATTCATTATTGTCACTGCTAAAAAACTGCTTTCGGTAACAATTATTACAATTGTTTGATAATATAAAAACTTTGTAACACTACACAATTTAATAATATTATGTACTTTAAAGAAAAAGAAAATATAACCACTACTAAAGCGTTTGTAAACATAATGTAAGTCTAATAATTTGGTTGGCACTTTACATTGCTAACGCTCAAGCTGTAACACAGGCAAGTTCTAAACAAAACGCAACACTAAGGAATTAAAACACTACATTTACAAACATTTAAATTGCACGCGGTGTCTAATTTTGTAGGCTATTAAAATATTCCATCAATATCAAAGGAGTGAAATTTCTGTACATTTACTATTATTTATTCTGTAATAGCAAAGAATAAATAATAGTATTACGTACAGAAGTTGCACTTTTTTGATGTTGACTACATCACGCAGGTAGCAAGAGTGACAGAGACCTGGTAATAGTGTCGCACTACGCTTTGCAGGTGCCTCTCTATGAATTTTGAGATTGGAGATTTATAATATGTGATTAAATAAATAAAACGCGATATAACCTGTTGTGCGACTCTGGCGAGCGTTTCGGCCATGACGCGGCCGGTCTGGTCCACCATGGACCGCAGGAAGCCGTCGCTCTTCTGGAGCAGAATGTGCGGGTGATCGAATTCCACCATTTGTCCCGCATCCATTACCAATACCTGGTATTAAAATACCATTAACAAAACTACTACTGCTTATACTAGTGCAAAATAAAACAAATCGTCCAATTGTCTCCAAAAATCATGACATCTATTGACAGTGTTGCTTCCACTCAGTTTCTTATTACAGAAACTCTATAAAGTAGTGAATTTAAATAATAGAAAGGATTTGTACAAAAACGTTTGTTTTTCCATAAAAACAATAATTTAAAATTAAAATTTTTGTACAATCGACTTCAGTATAAATTATTAAGAATAACTCAAAAACGATTGGTCAGGACCTTGATAAAATTTATACGGGACCATATGAAAAGAATCATTGAAATCGGTTCACCCAGACATAAGTTATAGGTAACACATAAAAAAACAGAGAGAAAGAAAAAGAAAAAAAAGCATACAGTCGAATTGAGTACCATCTCCTTTTTGAAGTCGGTAGAAAAATATAAAGGTTCGTATGCAGAACAATAAAATAATTTAAGTTTTGTAAGAGATTGCTCGAGACAGTTTTACAAGAACACAAGACTAAAACTACTAATGTGGTAATTTCTACATTATGTAATATGTGTTTATTTTTATAATCACAAACTATTGAATTTTATTATTATATAAAAGTTAGAGCCTATATACGTCCTGCTGGGCACAGGTCTGCTCTCATTTCTGAGAGGGTTTAGGGCAAGGAATTGTCCGCCGCGTTGCCCCAATGCGTGTTGGTGAACTTCACGTCTTCAAAATATTTTTTTCACATTTTTTTCCTTACGATGTTTTCCTTCACTGCCGAGCACGTGGTAATTCAGCACTTAAAATTGCAATTAACAATTTCATTGGTGCCGGTGGGAGTTCGAACCCGGGTTGCTTGCGTACTGCGTAATTTACATCGAGCACTTAACCCCTGAGCTACCACGACTCTTATTATATACCATACTATAATCTACTTCCCGCACTGTTGTAAAAATGTAGGTATGGTTTTAGTCAACCACGAGTACAGTCTAATACAGCAACCATTGCACTATTTAATTTCATACTAAATTATCTAAAAATATCTCATTGAATTTCAGCATACTATATAAATAGAGGTATTTGATTCAAAACAACAAATCATGTACATTAATACCTTATCTGAATCCATTACAGTGTGAAGCCGATGCGCGATGGTAAGGACTGTACAATCAGCAAATTTGTTCCTTATTGTTGTCTGGATTAATGTGTCAGTCCTGAAAATATTTCAAATTTTAGACGATTGTCCATTAGGAGACTGTGGTTCTGATATTCATGAACAACTTCAACAGTATTCTAAGTTATCTTAGAATCCTGTTGAACTCCTGTTGGGTAGGGTTAGGGCTTTTATTTCATTTATGGTCATAGCCATAAACTTATTATTATTAAATATTTCTCATGTTACAAGCGGTAACACTGAAAAGAAAAATTCAGTTAGTGAATTACGGATAGTGCACAAGCACAAACAAGTGTGCATACAAAATACTGGTCTGTTAGATTGGACATTAAGAAATTAAATTCTGAAAGGTACAATTACAATTGCATACAAAAGCACCGCAGTCACTGGCATATACAGGTTTTTTTTTTTTAAATCTGTCATAGGTATAACCAACCATATGCTTGTCTTTAGTTACCTACTAAATAAAAATAAATACCTTTACAGCAAGGAACTAATAGATACAGTTGAAAGGTTCTATTATGGGAAGTCATGACTACAGAGGTGTGCTAAATTCCAAGCGTATTGTGTTCGAAAGGCCATTTGATCAATTACTCAATGTAGTCGTCGGTGTTTGACGCCTTAATGCGTTTTTTATTGGAAATTCTAATAAAATCCTCAGACCATAGAAGAAAGAAAAACGGAGCGCTGTGTACGTTTTAAGTGATGCCAAATTGAAGCTAAAATCATGTTTAACTTATTATAAGAATATGTATTCACGCACCGTATAGATACGCGTTTGAAATAATTTGCAACTAACAAGATGATTTTAGATGCATATGTGAGAACCCAGCACCGGAATTTTGCGTGAGTGCGTGTTGAGAAGTGGAGCATGATTTCGGCGCCAGTTAAAATGTACGTACGCACGTTGGTCTGAGTTGAAAACATAGAACCTAAGGATTTTTACCACTTATTAAAAATCTTTAGGTTCTATGAACCTCTTTTCTGCTGAAGAATCTGTCTAGGTATGATCACTCTCTTACCTATTTCTGCCACCACTAACAGTTCTTGCACTGCTTTATTCCGATCTGAAGGTTATTAGAGAGTCAGTATAGTTACAGGCTGTGAAGCATTAAATCTTTGTCCTCAAGAGGTGATAGCGCAACCATTTTTGTTCGAAGTTTGATTCAGATTTTCACGGATTGCAGTAGCCACTTACCATCAGACGCACAGTAAGTTCGTTTGTCACTATAGTTTTTAAACGATTTAATTTTAATATATTTAAGGGGCTTTAATTTTTTTATACACTATGGCTTAGCATCGACTTAGAATGTGAAATTATTTTTAAACCTTGACGAAAAAGAGGGGTGTTATATGTTTAACGTGTGGATTTGTGTATATTTGATTTGTGTAGATTTGTTATATCGTCTGTGGCATAATAGTTCCTGAACGGATGAATCGATTTTGAATAAGTTTATTTCTTTTGAAAGGTATCTTAATCGGGAATTTTTTTAGCTGTTTTAACAAAATTTATTCCCCCCCATTAGATGGAGTGAAAACCTGGTAAAACATGCAGGAAGTCGATGGATGCAGGTGGCACAGGACCGTGCTTTGTGGTATTCCTTGGGGGCGGCCTATGTTCAGCAGTAGACTTGTGAAGGACTGTAATGATGAATGATGAAGAAAATCTGTTCAGTCGTTTGAAGATCATGAACTCTTTTTGCATCGGGGTTTTTTAAATTTTTTAATTGAATTTATATTGTTTTTAGTTCTTTGAAATTGGCTTTTACTGGTTGTTAAAAGTTATTTTATAAAAGAAACTAGAAGTCGATTGAGGTTAGGCTTGTTTTTGCGTAAGGGCGTGTTGTATAAAGGCAGGTGGGAGCGTGACTGACTGCGGGTCGACGTTGGCGGTGGCCTCGTCGAGCACGAGCAGGCGGTTGCGGCGCACGATGGCGCGCGCCAGGCACACGAGCTGGCGCTGCCCCACCGAGAAGTTGCCGCCGCCCTCCGCCATGCGCGAGCTCAGCCCCGCCGCCAGCTCCATCACCGCCTCCTTCAGCTCCACCTGCCGACCGACCGCCACACACACCGCTCACGACCACGAACGACTGTATGTCTGCTTGGCCATTTCGTGAATGTCGCCATTTCATGATTTGGACAATCAATTACCCGCCAGATCACAAGTCGGACGAATCGACGAGAGAAACCTATTAGTCGATATTCCCATCTAAACAATTCGTCTACGCCGCAGTCCAATTAATAGAATTCGTCAGATCGTAATCAGCCTAGGCATTTCATGTAACGTCACCATTTCATGATTTGACAGATAATTAATAACTTTGATATTATAATTAATCTAGCAACTATAACATTAGCAACAGTAGATTTTGGTGCTGCTGAAATGACCACTGGGCCACGTCCAAGCACATAAGTATATAAATTAAACACAAAGTGTTATGAATATATCGGATAAATCATCGACAACATCAGTAAATTACGAAATTTACAATCAAGGCAAGGCAGATTACAATCGGCTCAATGCTACGATTGGACTACGAATGTGTAACGGACGATTTGGCGGGTATTAAATGACCAATCACGAAAAGGCAACCCATTCTTATAATGCCCAGACTAATCACGATCTGGCCAATTCAACGACCGGATAATGATGACCTGATGATCAGATGACTACACACACCCGGTGTACACACACGTACCTCTGCCGGTCCAGCTGGTGTGTATATATTATGTAATTATAAAATTTATTAATAACTATGCCCACAGTGACACCTATCGGATAAATTAAGTGATTTTCTTTATTGACATTACGTGTCATGTTAATATGCGCAACATATTTTTTAATACAGTTGCTCAAAAAGTGGCGTATTGCAGGGACGTATAGTGTTTGGAATGTGGGCTATTACATACTCGAGCTTTTTCTTTATCTTTTCCGAACTCGTGCGTTCTCTTTCCCAACTGTCAAAATAATGTCTATTAAAAAGAAAAAACAAACCACGAAGTTTTTACTAAAAAAAATTATAGAAGTTTTCATGATTCATGCAAATATTTCTAAAAAGAAGCTACTAATTTGTTTCAATATCAGATTTAATGATTTGATTCAATGAGTTAGGTTAGGTTTCATTTCATTTCATCTCGTTAAATTTCATTTTCATTTCATATCAATAAAAAAAATCTACTGAAGACTTGGCTGTACGGGCATAGTTATCTTTGCCTACCCAGAATGGGTGAAGAAAACAAAAAAATATCTGCTTATATTCTTTTACGGTTGGCGCAATTTTCCAAAAATGTTCTTTGCGAGTTTAGTTGTTTTTTGCACAAAATGAATAATTTCGACGATATTTTATTTGAATTAACACCACCGGAACTCAGTATAATTGCACAAAATGTTTCGGAGAACATTTTACCAGAAAAGTAAAAAAGTCGCTACATATCTACATACGACGAACGAATTTATTGCGTGGAGAGAAGAGAAAAGAGCACATAGTTTTTCGGAAAATGTTATGTTGGCATACTTCTCCGAACTCTCAGCAAAATTAAAACTTTCTACGTTATGGTCGAGGTTTTCGATGATAAAAAGTATGCTGAAAATAAGGAACAACGTGGATATAAGTGAATACCCAAAACTAAATGCTTTCTTAAAACGACAATCAGACGGTTTTACAACTAAAAAGTCGAAAATATTAACATCGAATGAAGTGGAAAGGTTTTTGAACGAAGCTCCCGATGATCGTTATTTAGCCACAAAGGTAATTTATTAATAAATACTCATATTTTTCTTTAGTATTCAGTTTACGAAATCGCAAAATACAGTCAATATATTAGTTAAAAAAATATTAATCAAATCCCTTTGTTTGCACTGATTTTTGGCGTTGTTGGAGCTTGCCGCAGAGAGGAGTTAGCCAATATTACTTTAAAAGATATTGAAGCCCATGGATAAATGCTACTAATCAAGATTCCGAATACAAAAAATAAGATACCGAGAAGCTTTGTTGTTGAAGGAGATTTTGTTAGAATAGTGCAAAAATATATGATTCAGCGGTCCTAAAAAGCAAAAATCGACCGTTTTTTCCAAAATTATCAAAAAGAGAAAGCTCAAGCAATCGGGATAAATAAATTTGGTAATATGCCAAAAGAAATAGCTACGTTTCTTGGTCTGCCGGATGCTGAGTATTATACTGGACACAGCTTCAGGAGGACCTCCGCTACATTATTGGCAGATTCAGAAGCCAATTTGACGTCCTTAAAGCGACTAGGAGGTTGGAAGTCAGACAAAGTTGTAGAAGGCTATATTGCTGATTCATTAAACAACAAACTAGACACTGGGAAAAAAATCACACAATCCACTAATTTAAAGTCCAGTCCGTCTCCTTCACATGACAATACTGAAGAGAACGTTCGTCCATCTACCTTCGTTGATAATGATAATTCATCAGATCTAATTCCATCAACTAGCAAACGCCATTGTATAACACCTTTGACAAATATACATGGACAATCATACGAAATTAATAATAGTTTGTAAAACTTCCCCAGTTGGTATAAAAAACTGTACCAATTTCAATGTATGTGTGAATTATAACTTTTATAATAAATAAATGATAAGTTAGTTGAATTTATTATTTTATTAAATTGCTTCATTTTTTCGCAACTGTATTAAAAATAGTTGTTCAGTACACGTGCGGAACCGTCATTGCAACTTGTTCCCATTGTCAACCCTCACCTTCGGCTGCGCCTCGGCAATGAAAGGCTTTCCGCACTCCTAATGAAATATACTATTGAATATGTGTGATAAATATAGAATTTGTTAAGAACTTGAGATCAGTGCCACCTTTCCCTGATCCTAACATAACATCTATGAGATGTCGTCTCGGCAAAACAATTATATTGTGTAAATATGACCTCATTTGGTCAAATCCCTCCGAAGTTATATGATCACTAACAGACGCACCAACAATTATATACTATAACATAATAATTCAATACAGGTTAGGGTCGAGTTTCATACTCTACACAAAGTTATTTTCAGCAGCGATCATTATTCCTAAGGCATGCCGCGCACTAGGCAGCCTGGCTGCGCAGCCAGGCTGCGGCAGCCGAAATATTTGAGCAGCCACTTCTAAACAGCTAATAGAGGGCCAGCCAGTTTTGACCCTTTATTCGAGGGATATGGACGTGGAAGGACTTGTAATTTTGTGCGTATTTCGTAAAAAACGCAAAGCTAAAAGACATTGGATTCATCCTCTTTTTCTAGAACGGCACTCAAAAGGCTTATTTCATACCTATTTCAAAGATGTTCGTAAATACCCAGACCGGTTTTATAACTACACGAGAATGTCAGTGCAATCACTTGATAACCTTTTGGAAAATATGAGAAATTAAATCTGATACTCCTATAGATATTGCTTTACGGTTTTCAATTTCATGAATAAATTTCTCCGTATTGAAAGTCATTTTGTAGTTTCGGAACACAAAATACGCCTGGCTGCTACGACAAGTGCGCGGTGACTGACGGCAGTCACATACATTTACCCTACTCGCTCTGGCAGCGCGCAGCCAACGGGCTGACGTGCAATCGGGCGCGCTTTTATAGCTGCCGCAGCCAGGAGTTCGTGGCTGCTTAGGTGCGTGGGCATACACCGTCATATGTTCGGCTGGCTGCCGCAGCCTGGATGCCTAGTGCGCGGGGGGCCTGAGGCTGCAAGTGGTCTTCGTGAAGTATTAACTGCGCGCAGAAAGTTTGCCAATGACGTCATGACGTCACGTGTCGATGCTTAGTACGGTTGACAAAAATACATGTTACTAAAATAGTGGTTGCAAATGCAATAAATCAGTAAAGGAAAATTTATTCATAAAAAACGTTCAGTTGTTACTAAGATTTATTATAGGCGAACCTTTTTTGCGTTTCCTTCTCGAAAAACATTAGAACCTTTAAAATAATAGCACGTTCGCCACTGCGGTAGGCTTCCCCTTTACTCATTTTGATAAAAAATAACACTAACATAAAACAACAAAAACTTGACAAGGAAACAATGAATAATTTCGGAGCGACAGCAATAAATTCAAAGACGTTGCACATGTTTTTTTTTATAGGATAAGGGTGACAAACGAGCACACAGTCCACCTGATGGTAAGTGGTTACTGTGGCCCACAGACATCTACATCCATCTTCGATTACGAATCAAAATGCATATGCGTTTTAACCCGTGAGGACTAAGATGGAATGCCTCTGTTCCAGTAAAAAGGGTTTCCGGTTCTGGGCTCTCTGGGCTGCTATTTTCCGCTGGTATTCTGGGACAGCGTGGTACTTCCCCGGTCGAGCCGACCCATTCGCGATGCAACCATAACATAGCTACAGCAATGACTCTACGACGTATAAATGTGAGCGCACGATTGCGTTGTTAACTGTACAAACTAGGCGACGCCGGGGACGCGGTCGGCGGGGGCAAGAGGGGTAGTCATCGGCAAACTTTCTGCGCACGGCTAATAGCTTCCACATTTTTTCGTCGAATTGTCTTGCAGTTCAGTTGCAGGCGTCTCATTCGAGTCCTTGGGCGTGAGTTGGTAAGGCGAACTGCCAGATTATTTTGATTGTTGGCAGGTTAAATTGTTAAAAACATATTTAGACAAGGATTTTGCATGGACGGATCTATATTATGGTTTTTGTATAGTATGATTATAAAAAGAATATTAAAGACAAAAATTATCTGACCTCTTCCAAAGCGCGCCAGAGCACCTGATCCGGGTACTCATCGAAGGGGTCGAGATTGTGTCGCATGGTACCCGAGAACAATACTGGTTCCTGTGGGATGATGGAGATCTGGCTGCGAAGCTCGTGAAGCCCTAGCATTGATGTTTCGCGTCCGTCGATTATAATCTCTCCTTCGAGTTTTGCCAATCTGTCCAAATAAATTTAATGACAAAAATATTTAAGATATTTTTAGTAACAAATATTTTACTTTTGTGCTAGGGATTTCCCTTGTATTCTAGAATACATGAATAGCATATATCGCAGACAAACATTTAGCACTACAGTAACCAACTTATTAAGGTATATGTGAATTCGATAGAGACATTTGTAACCAGATTATGTAAAGGCAAATAAGGCAAAACAGTTAATTTATACAAATCACCATGCAAACTGCCTAATTATTATTATTAATAAATATTAATTCTTTCTCACTTTAAATGTTATAAATTCCCAAACGAATCCCTAATAGAACATTTCTTTTATTGTCAATTTGTTATTAATTGTGTCCTACAATAATAAAAGCACATTTTAAATTTATAAAATGTTTTTAAACATTACATTATATTCATCATCATCGTGTCTAACCCTTTAACTATTATTCAATAACATAAAAGAACAAACTAGGTAAACAAGTTAACTGTAAAACATACAAAAAAGTAGACTGAAAAAAAGTCCTATCTAAAAAATTCTGCTAAATAAAGGGTTTCATTGATGGTTACCAAGTATGGTTAAAAGTTCAAAGTCATTATAAAATTATGGCATTAAATATTTAAGGTTTTTACTTCTGAGTAAAATTAAATAAACCTGAAACATCTGGCTCTTATGTCAAGAAATTCAGTAAAGGATCAAGATGATGTTTCAGTTTCAGCGCGTACCTGAACAAGGCGTTGATGAGTGAAGACTTGCCAGCGCCGGTTCTGCCGACGATGCCGACTTTCTCCTTGGGCAGTATGAGGAAGGAGAGGTCCTTGAGCACTGGCGGCTCGTTGGGCGCGTAGTACAGGAACACGCGCCTGAACTCCAGGCGGCCCGCTTCCGGCCAAGATGGAGGGGGCTTCTTACTGGGCTCGGACTCCAGGGGCGGCTCCGATTCTATTGTCGAATATTCTTGTATCCTGTGAATATTTATAATCAGAGCATAATACGATGGTTATAGTAGTTATTAATCGCTTTGAAAAATGTTCTAGCTTAGCTTTGAATGTCAAGTGGTTAGTCAACCTATTATATCCTAATTTGTCTAAAAATAAACAATTAATTCTCAATACAGTATGAAAAGGAGGATAATAGGGATGAAAATTAAAATGTTTTAAAACCGTTAGCCACCAGTAAATTGCCAACCCTTTGATTTAATGGTCCAAAGGTTGGCAATTTTCTAGTAACTCAAAGTTCTAAAACATTTAAATGTAAGCTTTGCAGTTCACTGTATTATTTATTCAACTGAACACTTCCAATTATCTACTTATTTCTATGATTAAATCTTAATTTTGATTGGACTTTTTAAATTTGATTTGAGAAGTCTGATCAAGTTTATAGGTACTCAATTAATGATTTATCAAACATGGCGCTTATAGAAAAACAGACAATTCAGACGTTATGTAGCGAATTCAACCTTTAAGCATTTCATAGACATAGCACAAAGATAGAGGTGGACTGTGTGCTCGTTTGTTACCTTTATTCTATAAAAAAAGAAGACAATAGAAACCCTTAATTTGACAGACACCAGGGGTTGGTTAGGTTTCCTGAATTTGTCAGCCAAACAAGGCTCTATTAAATAATTTAAGAAAACTGCACGCGCAAGCAAAATAACATTAAATAACAAGTAAAAATACTTTGTGAAAATAACAAAAAAATAATTAAGAGAATACGATTTTATCTTACATTTCATCGTTTTTAACTGTTTACTGCTTGTGATTGTCAAAAGTAGCACTCATATAATTTTCATGGACAGCATGACAAACAATATATAATGTTGTATGGAACTCTATTCAGATGGAGGGTTCTTCATCATCATCATTATCATCATCATTACAGCTCTTCACAAGTCCACTGCTGAACATAGGCCTCCCCCAAAGAATGCCACAAAACACGGTCCTGAGCCACCTGCATCCATCGACTTCCTGCATGTCTTACCAGGTCGTCACTCCATCTCGTGGGGGGACGCCCTACACTTCGCCTACCGGTACGAGGCTGCCACTCGAGAACCTTTCTTCCCCATCGGTTGTCGGTTCTTCGAGCTATATGGCCGGCCCACTGCCACTTCAGCTTACTAATCCGTTGGGCTATGTCGGTCACTCCGGTTCTACTGCGGATATCCTCATTCCTAAGTTTATCACGCAGAGAAACTCCGAGCATAGCCCTCTCCATAGCTCGCTGAGCGACCTTGAGCTTCCTCATACGGCCAGCAGTGAAGGACCACGTCTCAGTTCCGTAAGTCATCACTGGCAACACGCACTGGTTGTACAATTTCGTTTTAAGGTTTTGAGGTATGTCTGACGAGAAGATGTGTCGTAGCTTCCCGAACGCTGCCCAGCCGAGTTGAATCCGTCGATTGACCTCTCGGTCTAAGTTGGACTTACCCAGTCGGACTATTTGTCCCAGGTAAATATACTCGTCAACAACTTCGAGCTTAGTGCTCCCAACAACTACCGGCATAGGTGTGACATGGACATTAAACATGATCTTTGTTTTGTCCATGTTCATCTTAAGACCTATCCGTTGGGAAACACTATTGAGGTCATTGAGCATAGTGCTTAGGTCCTCCAGCGATTCTGCCATAAGGACTATATCGTCGGCAAATCGAAGGTGAGTGATGTACTCGCCATTGATGTTGATACCCTATCCTTTCCAGTCCAGAAGCTTGAAAACGTCTTCCAATGCAGCGGTGAAGAGTTTCGGGGATATGACGTCACCCTGTCTTACACCTCTCTGCAATTGGATAGGTTTCGTACTCTGGTTCTGTACTCGGATAGCCATCGTAGCCCTACTGTACAAGCACTTCAACACTTCGATATACCGACAGTCAACTTGGCACCGCTGAAGGGACTGCAGCACCGCCCAAATTTCGACGGAATCAAAGGCTTTCTCATAGTCCACATACGCCAGACATAGTGGCAAATTGTACAGGGTTCTTCAGTAAATGTTAATGAAAGACAAAAAAGGTTGAAATAACATATTATGTTGAATCAACTATTTTGATAAATAATCTAAATGCTGAATTATGGATTTCGGACAACACTTTTTGTAAGAATTCTAGTTTAAAGATTTTGAAAAGCAATTTTGAATGTTTACCTCTCAACGCTAGTCATCTGGTTCTCGAGTTCGGTGGACTGCCGCATCCCCCACTGGAACATGCCCGTCAGGCCCATCGCTTGTGTAATCGCCAGACCCACGTTACCTCCGTATTCCTCTGTATTAAACATTAATAAGTGCAAGAATGATGAATGGATTTAAGAAGACTCACTTGTGATCGGGTCACTAAGAGTGAGTTTACATGGATTCATTTTTTAACCAATAAGTTTTTCGACACCATGGAGTGTCATGGGATTAAGGATTCTCCTACCAATTAATCAAATTATCTAGGTATATCACAAAAGTCCTATGCCCGTAGTGTTTGCTATATATCGTGTGATAAAGGGCTAACCCCTCTATCCTTAGCTAACGAGCAATGGCAAGACCCATCAGTACAGTGCATTTCCAACCGGGAGACCGCATGGAAAGAGAAAGAGCTCTACGAGAGATTCTACAAGGCTCTTCATGAGTCTTTCATAGACACAGTTGCCTCCCTCCACTGGCTACGTTTCGGTGACCTTTTGGGGAAACCGAGGGTTTTGTCTGTGCAATACAGGATCAGGTTATTAAGACCAACAATTATCGGAAATACATCCTAAAAGATGGCGCCGTCAACATCTTCGGGCTCGTTACTATACGGGTGAGTCACTTAGGCATGTCATCTCTGATTGTTCGGCGCTTTCCAACTCTGAGTACTTACTTGCACAGGCACAACTTAGTAGCCAGGATATTTATTATGTTTCACTAAATTAGTAACAATTAAAAATAATTGATCTAGATGATTCGAAAATGGCCAGGACCATGAATGAAACTGTGTTCAATGATAAGCATCTAGCAAAGTAAGATCTAAGTCCTACAATTGGACTGTTACAGGGATGTTTACAAACAACTTCAATGTCGAAATAAAATGTTACGATAGAATAGTTTAAATTAAAACTAATACCCTGGTAAAAGATAAATAAATACTATGATAATTATTAATAACATTTATATTACTATAAATTGGCAAAAAAAAAAGGAATACCTAGGTTGGTAAGAGCCAACAAGACACTCAGCTACTTTTTCTGTGTATAAAGTTTTTTACTGGTTTACATTTTTTCAACTACAATGTTTTATGTATTAAAATTAATTATAACCAACCAAACATTGTTCAGAACATACGTACCTTTGTCGAAAACGAGGAAGCTGAGTGTAACAATGGCAATGTAGACAACGCACACAAGATCTAGCCAGAAGCCGAAAGCGCGCGAACTTGCGATGAATAAATACCTGCACATGTTGAACAAATATGCTTTAGAAAGAGATGGGCGTGGGTGCGACTTCCTTCTGACTATTTGTTTGATTTAAAAATAAGAAATAAAAATGCTAGCGAACATTTAATCAAGTATTGAGTATGCAGTTATTTTTGATATCATTATTTGTTCTAGAGATAAGGAAAACGAATTAATAGGTACTGTTTCTACCGCGCATCAAAATCACACCTGTGAGTAGATACCTCATATAATTGGAGTAAATCATATGGCCTAAATGTGAACCCTAAAAAGTCTCAGGCTATCATTATTGGTAGCCAGAGTTTTATCTCAAGAGTTGACTGGTTCACCGTACCACCTATAGTATTCGATGTAGTTGTAATCCCTTACTTTGACAATGTCAAAAACTTTGGTATTTATATTGATAATTCCTTAAATTGGATACGCCAACTGAATGAGGTAAGTAAGAAAACCTTTGTCGCTCTTTGTTCACTGCGTCGCCTTCGATCATTTCTTCCCATTCCTACAAAAATTATGCTCGCAGTCTCTTCTCCTTCCGATTCTCAACTATGCTGACGCAAGCTATGTAGACATAACTGAGGACCAGCTAAATAAGCTTGAGAGAATTCAAAATACTAATATTCGGTTCATATTTGGATTGCGCAAATATGACCATATTTCCCAATTTCGCTCACGTCTCAAGTGGTTAACCTATCCGACTTCGCCGGAACATGCATATTCTTTCTATTCTCTACTGTGTATTATTTCATCCTTCTGCTCCTCCCTATCTAAAAGAGAAGTTTAATTTTGTGGGGCTTCCGGGGGAACCTCTACGCTCTTCTAGAAAATTAGTTTTAAGGGTACCAACTCACAAAACATCGTTTTTTAATAAATCTTTCACTGTCGAGTCTATTAAGCTCTGGAATGCCTTTGCATATACGCGAAGCACAATCTATTGTAATCTTTAAGCGACTACTTAAAGAACATTACTTGTCTCAATCGTTCGGAGACCGTTAGGATAATTATGTGATTATGTATTTATTGTATTTATCAGTTTTATATTATTGTTTGAGGAAATTTGTAATTTATTCATGTATTTTGGGTAGATATGTAAGTTTGTTTATATACTCTTATATATGTATATTTATGTATATATTTTTTATTATACTTTATCTTTTATTATGTATTAGTAATTTATATCATTTCATGTGTTAGTTATTTATATGTTATTTTAGTCTATATATCGCATGTATTGATATTATATTTTGTATAATTAAATTGCACCACCTACCTAGTATTCATTGTTTATTCCTTTACACCCTTGGTTGCCTGGAAGAGATCGCTATGTAGCGATAAGGCCGCCAAATTGTACATTTAACCTGTCTTTTGTTATGTAATTTGTTTATTTGTTTGTGGTGTACAATAAAGTATATTCATTCATTCATTCATTCATTCATAATTTGCACTATTTTATAATATCACTTATTATTGTCTTTAACAGCACTAACTCTCTTTCACACCGTATGAAATGACCTGATAATATTTTTATAATACATAATGTCTATCACAGTATATAACCGGCCGCCAATGCAGGCTGAGTCTGTGTGACACAGTCTCATAGCCCAAGCGATTTTTTAAAAAATAAAATAAACAACCTACTGCAGTTAGCAGTTAAAAATGAACGAGGAAGTAATGCTAAATTTTTCTTCATCACTCACCAAGCGGAACTGTGGACGTCTTGATGGTTGTCGAACTCCCTAATTAGAGCCTCCTGTGCGCCGAACGCACGAATTGTTGTGATACCCTGCAGCGTGGCGTTCAAATGAGAGAATACCGGACTACGAGCTGTGAAAAAGACGCAGCTGTAATTCTACCCAAAGAGTATTGGAAGTAAGTAATAGAACTGTGGAAAGTCTAAGAAGAAAGAATTAAGCCGGCTGTTGAAATTATGTATTAGTCTTAAAATTTGGCGCCCATAACGTAGCGCTTATAGAAAATCTATACAAATAAATAAAATAGAAGTGTCTGTTTTCAATGTCAAAGTTACAGCGTTTTACTAAATGTATATGAAAGTATATAAGGTACTAATAACAAAAATACAATTTATAAAGTTTTTGTCTGTCTATCTGTTTGTTTCAACTAATCTCCGAAACGGCTGGACCGATTTTGACGGGATTTTCACTGGCAGATAGCTGATGACACAAGGAGTAACTTAGGCTACTTTTCTTTTAGAAAAAGAATTAGAGTTCCACGCAAAAAAAGTAAAACCCCAAATAACACGCGGGCGAAGTCGCGGGGAACAGCTAGTAATGTAATAAAACCAGCATGATGATATACTAAATATATTTCGAGCTGTATTTGATCATGGTCCTGGATTGGAATCCCGGGTCGAGTCTAAATAAGTTATTGGGAGAGAGACAAGAAGTTGGCAGTGTGACACCCCCGTGCCTCGGAAAGTACGCAAAGCCGTTGGTCCAGAGCCTGACCGATCTCCGGTCGTGTCGGATTACCGGCCCATACATAATATGAGTGAGGTCGAGAAATAGAGATTGCATGCGTGCTGGCGTACACCCTCGTGTACCATAATCCTGTCCTGCGCAGATGGCTAGTCTCCGTTAAGACTGACCACCACGACCGAAATTCAGCCCTCGGAGATAAGATAGACCTCCAGAACAGCATGCTGCATGAACACCATGTGGTATTACTATTATAATAGAGTTAAAAAAAAGACTAAAAAAGTTGGCATAAGCCTCAAGATAACTTACTCACACCCTCGAGGCGTTTTATGCTGCGTGACGACGCCAGGTATACGATACGCAAACCGTAGAATACAAAACCAATGGCCAACGTCGGTATAAGCAGCCACCAGTTCACAATCGCCACCACTACCACAATACCAATTAAGGACAGACCAATCTGTAATAAAAATATAAAAACGCAATTTAATAATCGTTATACTAAATTTAATAATAAATGGTTGTGTACTTAAAAGAAAGAATGAGGAGCCTAGTTCCTGAATTCACCAGAATGGACTAGCTAAACTCGGCTCTTTCGAGTTCCTACTTCTTTGTATACTTGACATGCTTTGCAGATGAGAGCATGATCGAGATGATGATTGAGAAGCAAAATCTAAAGATAACATCATAAACATATGAAATGAGTAAATTATTTATTAGCTCATTTATTTGAGCATCATAATCAGCCAGGAAAAAATTTCGACTAATAATTTTAAAAAAAACCTTATGTTTGTAATCTAGCACAGACGAATTTCAAGTGGTAATGTCATTAATCAACTAATAAGGTTAGCATTTATCTATAGAATTGTGATGAGGTTTTTTAAAGAGAATAAGAAGGTTGTATTGGTTTACGACAGTTGAGTACAAACACAATAAGTACAGTTGACTATAGAATAAATGGCTATGTTTAGCGTTTATGTGGGCTACCAGTAAACAGTTTTAGCTTTTTCAGTTCTAAGACCAAAGCGTTCCCTTTCTGCCTATGGGCCAGTTTTGGTAAGTAACCCGTGTAACCGCTGAAGGCTAATAAATATTATGTATATAATGAGACATTATCCTCTTTTTTGGAAATGGATGCAAGTGTCCATGGTTTTGTATCCCTTAGGTGACGTAAAAGAAATTTTAATAGATGGTCGTTTATACCAGACGTTATCTCGTATATGCCAGACGTTTGTGCGACACGTATGGTACTGCTATTGCAAATCCGTCTGCCAAACGTGGCGATTAAGGCCAATCTTCCAATCTTACAGGAGCTCATATCAAGCAATGAATTTATGAGCTGATATAGATGGGTTGCAGTAGCTACTTACCATCAGGTATAGTCTAAGCTTTATCAATAATGTTATTGTTGAGTCATTTAATTCAACACGACACCCAAAGAGCGGGGGCATGGTGACTTGTCGATCGGTCGCTTTCGAATCGGCCGTCGCGGGTCGCGGGCATTGAGTCAGCTACTCCCGTCGGCATCGCACAAGCGCTCACGCATCTCTTATTAATAATTTTTTTTAATATATTACATAGAGTTCTTTCCAATGCGACTCATTATCAGCTGCGAACTTCACTCACTTGCAAAACGTCGAGCAGAGCCGAGGGCAGCACCTCGTCGACCGCGCCCATGTCCTTGGAGAAGCGGTTGAGGATGCGGCCCGACGGGTTGGTGTGGAAGAAGCGCATGGGCGCGCGCGTGATGGACGCGAACATGTTGTTGTGCAGGCGCGTGGACGCGCTCATCGCCATCGAGAAGAACATGAACGAGCGCAGCAGCGACACCGCCACCAGCGCCGCCACCATCGCTGCCCCAACAACGCTCCGTCAGACAATACGTTTCCAACACATTCTACTAATATGTACTACGCACTACAAGAGTCGTTTGAAACACGCCTTAGAGCCTATGGACTCTAATGCGTACTCTGTGCCTCTTTCCACGCGACCTACACTGATTTTTTTCACGGTGTCTGTTTTAGTAGGTAGTACATACTCGTATTACCTTAATGTTGCGCCACATTCTTCTTTTCTTAAAAGAGATTTGTTTACTTTCTAATATAGTAACTTTAGCCTACCGCGGCTTTTAAATATTACGTTTCTTTAACACGGAGCCTAGGTGCTCGCCATAAATTTTACAATACGTGAGTAACCAGGGTTCTACATGTATTGTTCCTACATCGATTTCCTACTATAAAATTTAGATCCCTCATTCTGAGAATAGTAGTTGTAGTTACAGTATATATACGTCCCACTGCTGGGCACAGGCTTCCTCTCATTTCTGACAGAGTTTTAGGGCAAGTAATTGTCCACCGCGCTGCGTGTCGGCGAACTTCACATGTCTTCGAAATATTTTTCTGGGATTTACGTACTACATTCTAGGAATATATAGCATTAAAGTAGGTAAAAGTTTTTCACCTTTTCCTTATCACTTATATTTATAATCTCCCATAATTGATAATGGTATAAACAATTCAGCAAGTAGAACCGATAAATCGAAACAAGATTTATAGGTATCAGCATAATTTAAAAAAAAAAAACCCAGTTATTATTACAATAAATATTAGTATTATTACAATCCCCAACTCAATTCCCAAGGACGGCTAGCAAGTACGAAACGTCAGCTAACAATTACTAGGCGGTAGGATTCCTTTTCTGCCACTCTTACTATTTCTGCCACCAAGTAGCAGTGTGTGTACACTGCTAAGTTTCAGTCTAAATTAGTCTCATTATTTCATTCTTAGTAAATTATTATTTCATCTTAGTCCTCATTGGTAACAATACACCTGAACGCTGCGCAGACGAAGAGATATAATCCAGTTAACAAAGAAAGTATGTTTCAAAGTAATGCCAATGTTCCCAAGTTGGGAGAGCCCTTACCCAAAAATGACTTACCGCTATAAATATAGATGCAATCGTATCGTGTAAGGCCGGATCTAACAAATTCCGCATTGTCGATCAACGGATTAGTGAAGTTTGCAGACAGCTCCAATGGGCCAGTAGTGTTATTTGTATCTAGCGCATTCATAAACGATCGTGGAAGGTCCTCTTCTAAGTTCACCCTAGAAAAGATTTATAATAAAAAATATATTTCATCTAATATGTAATATCTCACAGAACATCAGTGTAAAATAGCAGTATAACTGTTGATGGTGTTAACCGCTGGTGTCGTCGAGAGAAAAATAAACTAAACAAAATTGGTGCGAGCGTGTACATCCGCGAGAAGGGAGACAGGTGTCACCTCGTATTATGTTCCAGTGCAACTGACAATAAGCGCGGGATCATGTACTCACCGGTGCAACACCGATATTGCAAATATACCTTCACCCTATTATGAAAATAGCGGTAAGTGCCACCGTCCCCGTACGCACACGTACTTATTTAATATAGAAAATACGACAAATACATAAGGTAAGTAATAATTTTATAAATATGTGTAGATATTTTACATATTATATTATATTAATTTATTTATGTTTCAGGTATTCTAGAAGCAGCGTGAGCGTCGTCAACAATAACATAATGCTGTTGTATTTCGTATGGTGAATTGATGAGTGATAGAAACCAGAATCTGTTATTATTAGAAGGCCTGCCTTACTCCGCGTTTTAGTCATGAAAATATACCTACGCTGCGCGGCCCCCTACAAGAGTCTAATTCCGTGAGGTTGACACGCGCGCTCGAGCTGACGCGCGACTTACGTTAACAAAAAGTATTTTTCTCTTATGAGTATTTAGGCACTTTCGATATTTATTTTTGAGCTTTTATACAAGTCTGGCCTCTCAAAAAGCCAAAAGGTACTGCATAGTATACGGGTGCTTAAATAACAATAGGAATGTCAACTTTTCATTCTTTACAAGAACGTTTTCTAAGGATACCGAAACATAAGATATTATTATTTATAGGTAGATCTAAACAATTAGGTACCTAGCTACTGACTCCATAGTTTTATTATTTGATTAGCGACCCAACCACGGCTTCGCAGTTTTCGATTTTTTCGCGTATAATGTAAATGACTTTAAACGTTCAGTGTAAGTAGTACTACTTACTGCCTACTAATGCAAGATCAGCATATACTGGTTATTGGTTAAACACTTGGTAGAAAAAAGAAAGAGATTGAAAATAGCAGCACTTCTAATTGCCACTCTTTTATTAATAATGCCATCGCGTGTCGCATGTTTGTAAATAGCAAAAAAAATGTAAAACAGAAAATGGTTAGTAATATTATCTGAGTTTCAAAGACGTTTATGTGGTTATAATCTTAATTTTTCTAGATGTTGCATATTAACCTTTCTCACATTGAAGAAAAATGTTCTTAATATCAGCAAATTACTAACACATTGCATAACACCTCGGTGTATTCTACTACCAATTAATATCAAAGGATTCAATTTGTTTTCCTGTGACCTAACCCTACAGTTGGAGCGGCCTTAACAAAGGCGCGTAACGGCCAAAGTGATACAGACTCTCGCACGCAGACGTAAGGTGCATTTTGATTTAATACGCGTGCCGCAACAAACAGTAGGCTAATTTAACGAAGGTCGCATCCGAGGCGTGCAAAGTATTATGAACATTAGCAACGCTGTAACTAAGTTTAAACTCGCAAGTTTGCTATCAGAGAGTGATTCTTCCGTTCTTGTACTATTATTTATTCTGTGTTATTAGTAACGTCTTAATCATTAGGGGTGCATGCATTTGCATTTGTATTATTTATCGAAAATAGACTTAGGCGTCTACAGGCAGAGGTATCCATTTGTCATTAGGTAAACGATGTTCAGGCTCACCAGCGCCCTCAAATAATGAACAGACAGGCAATCGTCCGGTCCTTGACTTATCATGACTCTAGATGTATTTGTTTTTCTATTAGATTGGTGCCAGTGTCTTCAAGAGTGAATAGGCTGTTTTTAAACTAAGTCAGTGCCCTATACCACTACATTACTTACCATAAGATGGGATAGTATTTTAATAGAGATGGCAGCTCACAGGGAAAAAGTACTAGTTATTATTTAATAGTATGTTGGCAAATTGAGTTCCACTCCTGCCAGAAATAGTTAAGTTGTTAATTGTAATATTAAATACTGATTTACCACATGCACGTCGTTGAAATAAAACATCGTGTGATAATCTGTACGATTAAGCAATAAAATAAATTAAATATTATGGAGATGTAAAGGCCGCTAACATGCATTGGGGCAGCGTGGCGGACTCGTTCTTTACTCCAAAAATCCCTTTGAGAAATGGAGCAGGCTAAGTAAGGGATGTATAGTATGTATCACTTTACTTCTTTTACTTTTTTTAGATTGTTTTGTGGTATGGCATAGTGTTGTTATTCCTAATAATAAAAAACCTTCCATGAACTATCATGTATCCTAACGTAATATTATAAAGGTGAAAGTCTATTTGTTTGGGTGTTTGTCATTCAAAACGTAAGATAAGTCAATGACCTTCAAAATCTTTTTTACCTCCTTCTTTCAGTTATGTATTATTTTGGTGTATAGTAAAGTTATCTATTTATCATTTAATCATGTTCAAACGACTGCAGAGATTTGAATTAAATTTGGTATGTATATAGTAGATACAATTTATTGTGGAAAGGGATATGCTAGTTACTTTCAAAACGCCATGCAATTTGGAGTGGTTGGTACGTATGACTCAGAGAAGCGGGTTTGTGGCAACGGCAACCAATAGCCAGTGAATAAATTTATTTATTTATTTCAACACTTTTTTGTACATACTAAAGGTATAAACGGCGGGCATAATGTTATATGGCATTTTCTACCCGCAAACTGGAAATTTAGTGGGAGAAGTGTGTACTGCTAAGTGTGTAGTGGGCTAGGGTGAAAAACGTAATATTTGATAAAATTCATACACATACAACATACACACGCAAACACACACATGTAGATCATACTTATTTAAATATATATCAGGATATAATAGCTTATATATATGTATTTATTTTTATGAATTTATATATATATATATGTATATTTGTGTGTCAAATGAGCCTAAGTGACGTTCTTTTAGTTCTGTGTTCCAGGGCAAAGTAAAGGATTAAGTACCAGTAGCTGGTCCACCAGTCGGCGCCGGAGCCGAGCAGCTGCGCGAGCACGGTGACGGCGAGCATGAGCGCGACGAGCAGCGGGTGTCCGCAGGCGCGCAGGTAGGCCGCGTACACGGCGCCCGACACCGCGCCCGCCGACCGCAGCTCCGCCTCTTCGCGCCCGCCCTCCGGCGGCGCCGCGCCCGTCACGTTGTCCACCGAGCTCACCTGCACCCACACACACACACACATACACACACATCCGCACATATTATTTATTACTCTTTTATTTACAGTCAATGCTGACAAATTTACCAATGGCAGTTAACTTTGCCATCAGGGATGTGCGGCTACATAACTTAAAAAGAAAATTTTAAAAACCCCCAAAAAGAAATATCACTTTTATTCTGTTCAGCCGTTTCCAGGACATCTGATGACTGTAGGGGGAGGTTTGTGAGTTGTAACCCTCTACATATAATTGATGTGTAGGATGTTGATGTTGGTTGTATCTACGTTACGAGATGTGGTAATTAAAACTGTGGCAGATTCCGTAGTGTTTATTGCACTAACAATACTTATGAATAAAATGTAATACATATACTAATAATATATAATACTTATGAATGTAATTGCAGTGAACGTGTCGCGCGCGCAGACGATATATTAGCATATTTCCTAAACTATAGAAATACCATGTACTTGCTCGTACATCTTGCCAATTTTTTTAAACAAGACGAAAGTTTATGGCGACAAACCCCTATTGAGTTTACGGGCAGTCGTTGCGATCACCGCATCCACACTGTCGATGTCCGAGACCCGCCGCCCCGATGAATGTTCTTAGGTTGGCTGCTCGACATTGTTGGAGTCTGGCTTGTCGCGGAGATCCACGCTGCAGCTTTGACATCTTCTGAGTGATTGTACACTCAGCGTTTGTTGCCATTCCTTGACCTTATCAATGTTGTTTTTCAGCTCTTGTAAGGCGTCTTTACGATCTTTAGGGACAAATGTACGATTCGATTGTGTCAATATGTGGTTCAGGTTTGATTCGCACATGTACATTCTTTCTTCACTGCCTGTTAGTTTCAACTCGCTGTGATAGTCGTTGCGAGCATGAATGATGAAGTTTTTGAGCATTGAGCATACACCCAAGTCCGAGTGACATAATCCCTGTGCCATGTACGTAAGTGCTGTGATGTCACTCCAGCTGGGCAGAAAATGCACAACGTGCAGTCTTCGCAACAGGAGAACAGCCACGCGCCACGATTCTGTAATCGCACGCACCTGTCGTTGCAATCAAATACTCTTGTGTGGCATGTTGATAAGTCGTCATTGTTTAATATTTGCGCTTCACGTAATGTATTCACTACCTTGATGTTGTAAATAGGTTGATTGATAGCACATAACATTTTGTTTTCTTGAAGATATAAGCATGATGATACGTCTCGGTCTTCTAAAGGCACTATCATGTCCCTTTTTAGGTTTACAGGGAGGTATTCAGAAGTGAGTACTATAGTTTTATCTGTATATCCAGTTATTTGCGGAAAAGGAATGATGCGGTTAAGTTCATATTGTTCGTTGTTTATTAGCGGTAGCTTCACTTCGAATATTAGGTATGCACTTGTTAAGTGCACGAGCACCCGCACCAGCTTGTACAGGCTTCGCGTGCACAGGGTAGCGATTACTCACTTGGTAACTGACCGGAGATGATGCTGAGCTGCTCTTCAGATTGGTTAGGCTTGATGAGATGGGTGTCAACTCTCTCATCCCGTCTCTCACGTCAGTTGCTAGGTCTAGGAGTTGCTGTCGTATTCATCGTATGTTGGAAATGATCAAGTTCACGGCCAGAGCGGTAGCTGTTATGTAGATAGCATTATCATGGCTGACTCGTATGCCTTCACTTTCAGCGAGGTGATTGTCAATGATACGAAATTGTGTGTTCATTAAAAAAGGTTGTTGAAGAGTTTTTCGCCGATATTGTTTCTACGTTTTCCTGGTGTTTTTCTTGCAGGCTTCTTAGTGTCAAGGTCAGAAGATGCAAGATTGTAGATATGAGAAGACGGCTCCAACGGAAGGCGTGACAATTTGGTAATCGGTCGCTTCATATGACTTGTTTTAGTTTTCAGTATGACGACTCGTACCCGGCCGTCCGCACTTGGATGAGTTTCCAATACCCGTCCCAGGATCCATTTGGCAAGATGAATGTTGTCTTCTCTGACGATGACAACGTCCCCAACTTCTAAGTTTTTAATGATTTCTTATATTTACGAGAACACTACACATTTAAATAAAACTACTTTTACGGATTTTATTGCGTATATTGATTTGATTTGAAACACAGCAGCATTAAGCCGTTATTTTACGCTGGTATTCTGTGAGAGCGTGGTCCTTCCCCGGTCGAGCCGACCCATTCGTGCTACAACTATTCAATTAATATAGCTGCAGCATGGCTCTACCACGTAAAAAATTGTGGGATTTAATTTGATTAATTAAGGGATCCCAAGCAGATGGTAGCACCCAGCCATCTTCTCCATTGAAATTAGAATGTTTTTTGATTTCAATAGCCTCGCGAATCATCCTTGGAAGGAATCGGTGTTCTTTAGCGAGGATTTGTGGTCTATCAAATCTAATGTGTAATGACGGAAGAGATCCTGTACGTGTTCACAGACTGCAGACTTCCCGATTCTTCACATCAGCTATGTGTTCTTTAACGCGGGTTTTTATGGATTTTTAAGTTTGTCCTATATAAGAGAGACCACATTCACAATCAAGCTTGTACACTCCTGCATCTTGTAGAGGGACATTACACTTGACTGATGGTAAAAAGTCTAAGTTCTAAGATTTTTTGTAGGAAAGTGCCATTTGCTTCGAATTTGTAGAGTTTGGAGATAGTCAGTGGACCACTTCTCCAGAAGTCCTTGTAGATTTTCTCCGTAAGCTGCCATCTTGTAGTTCATGTCATTAGCCACAACGGATAGCGGTGGTTCAAGAGAAGGCTCGCCGATCAGGACGTGAGCCGGTGTCAAGCAGTCAAGGTCTTCGATATTCTCGACAACGCCACCAGGGGGCGAGAGTTGAGACATCCTTCAATATGTGCCAAAAGTGTGGAAAATTCCTCGAACGTAAGTTTTTGATCCCCAAGTAACCGTTTGAGGTGATGTTTCAGACTTTTGACTGCAGCTTCATACAGTCCACCAGCTGTAGGCCAGGAAATTAAAATGCCATTCAATTGCCCCACTCTGACAGGTTAGTAAGGACGTCTTTGTTTATGTAGCATTGTAATGCCTCCTTTCGTTGTTTTTCCAATGTTCTTGTTGCGCCCACGAAGTTGGTGCCGTTGTCGCTGTACATGTGACGAGGTTTTCCTCGGCGGGCACATATTCGTTTCAAGACGTTCAGAAAAGCCACTGTGCTGAGATTGGAGACAAGTTCGAGGTGAAGAGCCTTTGTGCACAGACACACGAATACCGCTACGTTGGCCTTCACTGTCTTTATTCCTCTGCCCTTGGTAGCCTTTACCTCCACATGCCCAGTAAAATCTACACCGGTGAGTGTGAAGGGCCGGGATGGTGTGACGCGTGGTTGGCCGGCGTAAGTTGGCATTTTCCAGTCGCCCCTCTACACGTAAGATTTTGTGCTCGTCCAGGAACGGATTTAAGTTTAAAATACGGCTTGTTATTCGCACTTTATAATGTTTATTCAGTTGTAGAATGTCGTCGGCGAAATGCTTAGTTTGTATAACTTTGATAATCGCATTATGTGCGTTTTGCAGGTCACTCGTTGTTAGGTACAATGACCGCATGACATTGTTGCCGACACGTGCATTGTTCACGAGCCGAAGTATCCAACTTAGGATTTGAGTTACGGGCGCCGTACAGTTGTATTTGTTTAAAAGTTCTTCTATTAAAGCATCGACCTTTGTGACACGTTGTAGACTTGTTAGACCTTTTTCTCTTCAACAGTTATGTGGCATGTTTCTTGAAGTGGTAGATCGTTATCTTTTAGCCAAATAGGACCCCACCATAAATGATGATTCGCCAGTTGTAGTGGAGTTAGGCCTCTGCTGGTACAATCTGCTGCGTTATGTTCAAACTTGACGTGTCTCCAGCATCGCGATGGCATGATGCCAGTAATCTGTGTTACGCGATTAGCCACATATGTAGTCCATCTTGAAGGCTCCTCATGTAACCAACCCATCACGATCATAGAGTCTATCCAACCATGTGTTGTAACAGTTTGTGCGTTTATTGACTCTATGATTTTCTTCATGAGTCGAGACAGTAAGGTACCACATAGTTCAAAGCATGGTAAAGATGGTGGTTTTCTTATTGGTGCAAGCTTAGTTTTTCCCGCCACCAGCTTGATAATTTGTTGCCCTACTTCATCAACAGATTTATAGTAGATAACGCAGCCGTAGGCTTTCTCGGAGGCGTCACAGAATCCATGTAACTCGATTGGTGGTTTAGTGTTACCAATCCAGCGTTGTAAAGCGATGCTATTAACAGTGGGCAATTCTTGTTGAAAGGTTGACCATTCTTGTTGTATATTTTCAGGGAGAGGTTCATCCCAAGTTATTGAAGCAGTCCAAGTTTGTTAAAATATGAGTTTTGCCTTCATTGTTACCGGAGACAGCCAACCAAGGGGGTCATATAATTTTGATAGGTCAGAGAGTAATGTCCGTTTCGTTGTGACGTCACGTGTGTTAAGTGGCGTCTTGAAAGTAATCTGATCAGTGTGCGGATTCCAGGTCAAGCCGAGTGTTTTGTTACTCTCTGCATCCTTGAAATCAAACATATTTTGGCTTATGAGTTGTTCAGGTAAAGTTTGAAGCAATCTGGGGTGGTTACTAGCCCATTTGCGAAGATTGAACACACCGCCATGTACCATGTCAATCAATTGCTTTTGAGCGTCTTGTGATTCTAAGACGTCGTTGCTACCACCAAGTAGGTCATCCACAAACAGCAGGTGAGTAAGGATATCAGCCACGAGCGTATAGCGGTGTCCATATTCCATTACGAGCTGTATTATAGTGCGCATTGCCAAAAATAGTCCAGCTTTGGTGTCATATGTTACAGTGCACAGTTGGTATTCTTTGATGAGGTCTGTAGCGGAGTCACGCCATACAATTTTTTGCAAGTGTTGATCATCGTATATCAGTGCTTGACGGTAAAACTTCTCAATGTCTGCAGTGTAGACGTATTGATAGGCTTGCCGTCGCAAAATCATAGATTGCAGGTCTTGTTGGAGGTTAGGCCTGCACTCCGTGAGATCGTTCAAGCTTTGCCCTGTATTTGTTTTGGCAGATGTGTTGAAGACTACGCGCAGTCTTGTAGTTGTTGAGTCCAGATTTGCACGCCATGATGGGGTAAGAAATAGCTCATGCTGTTCAGTGCATGGCTTCATGTGGCCGAGTTGTAAATATTCGTCTATAAACTTCTTGTATGAAGTAGAAAATATTCCCTGTTTGGCCAGTCTTTTTTCTAACCGCCAAAATTGTGCGACTGCCTGTGGCTTAGAAGTGCCCAAGGTTTGTTTGTACCTTGACTTATTGGAAGTCTGACTGCATGTCGTCCGTCTTCTTGTGATCTTGTTGTGGTTGAATAAACAGATTCACAGTCTCACACATTCTTCCTCTGATGTTAGATTATGATTGGTTTCGGTTATTTCCTCCATCCCCCAAAATCGAGATACATCGTCAAGATTAATGAGCACGTGGCAGTTGAAGGTTTTGATATTGCCCAGCAGTACCCAGCCCACCTTTGTCTGTCGAGCCATGGGTGGGCGTGTGTGAGTGGTCCTCGTAGCATACAACTCATTACTATGTTGGCATATGTACACTTCAGCGTCTAACAGAACGTCCACTGGTCGGTTTCGAGATGTTGTAGTCGGGATCCGCCAGTTGTATGTTCTGAATATATGGCCAGTCTTGTTTTTCGAAGGTGTAATTAGGCAGGTTGCTGAGCATGTTGGCCATTACCGGATTGGATTTTGTTTGATATACTGAATATAGGTGTCTATCTATATCTTTGTAATATAGTTCTGCCCTTTTCGACTACCCGTCATATAAAAATCCTTGTATTCGTAATTAAAAAATATTAAGTGTCACTTATCAGGATAAAAACTATCATATCTCTCAAGTTGGACCAAACTGCACAGTGTTCAAAATTTAATTGAAATCAGTTCAGTAGTTTAGGAGTTCATCGCGGACAAACAATGTGACACGTAATTTTTATATATAAAGATTATTGGTTAGGAAATGTAATATTTCCATGGCGGTCTTAATATTTATCTATAAAACTAACTTGGCAAAGTTACCATACTAGTGATGCCATACTAGTGATGATTAAAAGAAAACAAAACAACACCAAACTAACTTATGTGATTACTTCTTCTATTATACTACTTAAGAGTTTTTGTACTACTATTGAGTAAATCAGCCAGAACAGTATCCTATTTATCTTATTGATCTACAAAAGAAACAAATAAAGGCGAATAGTTTAAAATTTCATTAAGTGCATTTGAAATTGCATTAAGGCAATATAAAATTCAAAACAGGAAATTAATAGAAACATCCATTACTTATTATAAGTATTTATGTTTGCTTACAAATCTTTTAGTTTAGAGGAACTGCATCTATAAACGAAAGTGACAACTCAACAAAATAACACAAGTAAAGGAAAACTTACTAAGCCAGAAGAAAAGAGTGAGAAAGTCTTACATACAGCAAAGCATCTCTACACAACACTTATAGCAAGTTTAGGGTTTAGCAGTGAAGTTTTACTATAGCAGCGATCACAAAACATCATACTGGTGGTACATTAAAAAAAACTTGTTAATCAGACATGTAGCAAGATACTAATTAAATGTTGAAGCTTAGAAGGTTTTTTTTTTATAGAACAAAACTGACAAACGAGCACACAGTCCACCTGATGGTAAGTGGTTGCTGTGGCCCATAGACATCTACATCTATCCTCGTTTACGAATCAAAATACAGATGCGTTGTCACCCGTGAGGACTAAGATCGGATGCCTCGTTTGCAGTAAAAAGGGTCTCCGGTTCTCTACACTCACCATACGAAACACAGCAGCATTAAGCTGCTATTTTACGCTGATATTCTGTGAGAGCGTGGTCCTTCCCCGGTCGAGCCGACCCATTCGTGCTACAACTATATTTTAAATATAGCTGCAGTTCGGCTCTACCACGTTTTGTTTGCTGGACAAATATAATATTTAACATTTTTGCAAAAACTGATTCTTGAAAATAGCGCCTCTTATAAAGACCAGTTTTTATGACATACACACACGAGTACATGTAACATTTTTTAGAGAAAAGCAGATTATACTTACAGAATGTATACTCAATTGCCGTTTGCGGAAACTACCCTGAAGCACAGAATCTTCTAGTTCGGTGTTTGCGTCTTGAGGTTGTTTGGGTTTCTCTTCCTCTTGTTCGCCTCGCGCGAGCAACGTTGCGAAATCAAGACCAGAAGCGCTCAATGTTTCAAAATCACCCGCCGCTGCTATTGAACCGTTCTTCAATATAATAATCTGTTCAAAAGTGTAAATTAATGAGATCTCATGTATAGGAATACTGCACAATGAATAAAACTATTTTATACTGAATTAATCGCGTTTAAATTGAAATTATTTTAATTTGCCGATGTTTTGTGTGCTTAGCGGCACCTTTAGTCACGGGAAACAAATAAAATGGGAAGTAAATTAGTTTTATCCAATATAGGTTTAGTAAAATAATTGAAAATTTTAAATCATGTGTGGATTATGGCCAAATACTCAAACGCTTCTGAATTTTAAGATGTCGTTAAGTTTCGTGATGTCACAGTCACTTAGACTTTAAGTGATAGACACGTCACGAGACTTAACGGCATTTTAAAATTGAGTAGCGTTTGTGTATTTGACCATTAGTCGTGTGAATAGAGTAATATCTATACAAATAAATAAAATTGATGTGTCTGTTTGTAATGTCGAAATAACAGCTTTTTACTATATGCATATGAGAGCATATACGGTACTTATAACAAAAACACGATTTTTAAAATTTTTGTCTGTCTGTCTTTCTGTCTGTCTGTCTGTCGTCTGTCTGTTCCGGCTAATCTCCGAAACGGTTGGACCGATTTTGACCGAACTTTCACTGGCAGATAGCTGATGTTATAAGAAGTAACTTAGGCTATTTTTATTTTAGAAAAAGAATTAGGGTTCCGCGAAAAAAATTAAAACCCATGAAATCCAATCGTAATAAATTACGCGCGGACGAAGTCGCGGGGAACAGCTAGTATTAAATATGATAAAAAATGGTCTATGAATTAAGCTGAAAATTGCAAAATATCATTTACATCTTATACTTACTTTTGGTAATTTTTCGATGCAACTAATTTCTACTAGTTAAAAATTACATTATGTACCTACATAAACCATGCATACAAATAAAAAAAAAAACTGTGGGGAAAAAGTGTTGCGTCTCTACTAGATCTGGCAGTCCAAAGACTCTTGTTATTTGGTATGAAAGGTTATACTTATAATGTAGTCTATTACCACATATGAAAGTAATAATTCATTTGTCCTATTAAAAGGGATATTTGAAATAAGCTTGTTGTACAATTATATTTATATCGACATCAGCCAGGAACATGGATCCTAAATCTAAAATCATGCACGATGTTTCCTTTTTACCAACCTTATAACCATCTCCGTACTTCTGTTGGCAATACCAAACAGAGAAAATATTAAGTGACGTTAATACGATGCCTACGTTACTAGGTCTTAGTCAAAATTACAACATTGCGCTTCTCTTAGCAATACCTATCACACAAAAAGAATTAAGTGACGTAAACTACATATGTATGCACCCTAATTAACAGAAAAATATTTTATTTTTTGATTTATGGAATAGTACGACATCCACACAACATATTCTATCACTTTACTATATCAGTAATACCTTTTTAAGGGCCAAGATTTTCATGTACATGAGTACATGATAGGTATGTAATGACGCGCATTCATGTCTAGGGTGTTCAAATACATCAAATTAAAATAATTGTTCAATCATAAGCTAGTCACTGCGCTACTAAGCCGTCTAAAGCCCTTTGTTATTTTCATGTACCACACAGGATCGAAATAGCGTTCGCATTATCTAATACGGCATACGTTAGATAGGTTAGGTCTTAACAGTGGTAGAGCCACGCGGCAGAATTGCTGTCGCACGGATGGGCCGGCTCGAACCGGGGTGGTACCACGACCTCACAGAATACCAGCGTGAAGTAGAGGTTTACCTCTGCGTTTCGCTTGGTGAGTGCAGGTGGCCGGAGGCCCTTTTTACTGAAAATGAGGCATTCCATCTTAGTCCTCACGGGTGACAACGCATCTGCATTTTAATTCGCAAACGAGGATAGATGTAGATGTCTATGGTCTGCAGCAACCACTTACCATCAGGTGGACTGTGTGCTCGTTTGTCACCCTCATCCTATAAAAAAAAAGGTATTTATCAGTATCATCAGTCTTTTTAGTTGACTGGTGCACCTAGTTCAGCACTAGACTAGATCACCATATACATCCTGTTTGAGATCATATTATTTGAACGGATTCTTTTAACACTCATCATATCTAACCTTATTTAAAAAACTAATTAAAACTCTGGCTCTTTGCACAATATAAAGCAATATGACGTACAACCATATATTAAACGAGATAGCTTAATGACGTCTTGCAATTAAATCGTAAGATCCCACTGAAGTAATGATGCAAAATCTTACCTGATCAACGTCCCTTAAAAATTGCAGCTGATGTGTGACGAGGATGCGAGTGGTGTTTCGCAGGTAGCCGACTACGCAGGATTCGAACAGGTGCCGGCCGACATGCGCATCCACTGCCGATAGCGGATCGTCCAACAGGTATATATCCGCGCGTTTGTACACCGCACGGGCTAGTGAGATCCGGGCGCGTTGACCTGCCAATACAACCAAGTCATTGTTTTAGGATGTTTTTATGTTTAGATAATACATACATGAAGATGATAGATAAAGGTTGCTCAAGAACATATTTTCTGGCAGTCTTTGCGTGTGGCATATCATAATAATGGACTGAATTAAAAGCTTTATATATTTAGAATAAAGCAGGGGTTCTCAAAACTTTTCAGTTCATGGTGCACTTACAGGTTTAGTATTTTGTCTCGGCGCCCTAGCTAGTCGAAACAGGGTAAAATGATACTAGGTGATAAGCACAAGACATAAAAAATCCACAATATTCTTATTAATTCCGGAGTAGTAAACAGAACATTACTCTCTACGGCGCGCCAGGGCGCCACGGCGCACACTTTGGGGAACCCTGGACTAAAGAATATGTCTCAAGATACTATTTAAAATATGCAGTACGTATTCCTTGACAAATAAAATGCTATAACACTTCATTGAATAATCATCATACATTGTACAAATAAATAAAATAGTAAATAATACTTGCTTATGATGTTTAAATTTTTATATTTTAAATATTTACTTTTTTAATTGTATATATTCTGAGCAAATATTAACAACAGAACAATTATTATTTTCTCTTGAAGAACAGAGAAAAATAGTAAATGTTACTTACTTTTGATTAAGATACTGATGGAAAAATATGAGCAACATTGTCTATTTTAAATTACAAATATTCAATCTGTTTGGGATTAGTGTGAATACGAAAGCACACACGCACACTCATGTCATGGTCCTAAAATTAAAGAATAATATAAACAATACACTTTACCTCCACTGAGACTGACTCCCCTCTCACCGACGACGGTCTTGTCTCCATGCGGGAATAGTGCAAAGTCTCTGTCTAGAGCGCAACGGCGAACGACGGCATTGTACCTCGGCCGGTCCATCGGTTGACCGAAAAGTATATTCTGACGAACGCTTCCTGTTTATCACCCAGATAAGACAAAGAAATTAGTTAAAAAACAGAAGTTAATTCCACTTTTCTTTTATCTTATTTATTCATTTTAGGTCTTAAAAAAGACAAATCTGCAAGTGTTTAGAAAGTTAGACCTCTACAAAGAGGAACCAATAAGGCTTTAACAAATTTTGAGGGCCTTTAGAAATAAAAAAATTAAAATATCTAAATGTTCTTTTATTTAATGACATCGCGAATGAATCATTATTACAGAGCACCCAATAGTCCACTGCTAAACATGCCTCCGCCCAAGAAATGCAACAAAGAACGGATCCGCATCATCTGCATCGATTTTTCTGCACTTCATACCAGATCGTCTGTCCATCTAGTGGGTAACTGCCTTACATTCCAAATAAAAACATCAAACTGTTACATGTCTATGTTTAGTAGTGCAAAGTGACGTAAATAATATTGCAGTCAATAAGGCTCTTGCAGCCCACGAAAACCGGTAACCAACTTCAAACAAGGCAGGCCACAGATAAAAGTTAGATGGTGTTACCTACCCAAACGGACTCACAATTTAAAGTTTCATACATACAATTTTCTTCGAGTATGTTGTAAGTAAATCAGAGCTTCAAATTAATTACGATTTTTATTGATGTGCGTCGGAAATTGTAAACGTAAAATGAACTACCTTTTTTATATAACACCGCCCAAACTTCAACGGAATCAAAAAGTGGCTAATTATTACTCATTGCAGTACTTGTAACACATCACAATAAGAGATATGCATCTTTTCAAATGGACAGAAAATAATAATAATTTATTACTGCATAAACTGAATTGTTACACATCTACTTAATTGTAATAAAAAAAAATTGTAGATCAGCACATTGTGATCTCTCTAGCTGTAAACGGTAACTATTAGATGTAATATGGTCATGGCATCATCTCATCCGATATGTCACTAACAGTTAGAAGATGGATTAGACTTAGAACACTGTTATTGAGCACAATACTCAAATTCTGGTGTAATAAAAATTAAAATGTAACGATACACTCACCAGCAAACAACCATGGCTCCTGGCTTGCATAGGATACCGTGCCGCCAACATGTACAGTACCAGACTGTAAAGGTAGCTCCCGCAATAATACGTGTAGAAGCGAAGACTTTCCGGCGCCCACAGGACCTATTACTGCTATTAATCTGCAATTAAAGATAGATAATCAGCCTCGTATTCGATTTTGTACAGTTAACATAATTAATATATTTTTTTTTTACAACAAAAAAGGGGCTTAGCTTTCCATTGACGTCCGTCGAGTTGGAGGTTGATATTTTTTTACAGAAAGGATACATTATTCTAAGCACACAGGTAAAGTTTCAACATGCGGAAACGCATACTTTTTGAGAATAAAATTATTGAAAATCAATTATTTTTGCAATATTTATGTCAATTCCTACCGTAAAACTGACGCTATTTTGTATTGTCATTGTCATCGTCAGTAGGGATGTCGATTCTTTCCGAAAAAGATCGATTTTTCAATCGATTCAAATCGTAAGCTGATATATCGATTCACAAAAAATCGATTTCTAAAATATCTCTATTTTTTCATGTTTGCATTTATAATGTAAATATAAATCCATTTTATGAAAAACAAGAAAGATACCATCACAAGTGATCTCTTATTGAAATTTGTTTTATTTTAAAAGTACCAAGTCTGTCCTACCCCTAGAGTGGTTTTATAGAGCCGGAGGCGCGTAGGGGTAGCGATTTGTTACGCAAAGACGTAGAGCCTGCTCTTCCCGCAGCGCCGGAGACGTAGCAGTCTCAAAATAGATACAGAAACCCTTCTGAATCAGTCCCCCTATTTTTTTATGATGAAGATTTTTCTCATAAAATGGATTTATATTTACATTATAAATACAAACATAAAAAATATAGATATTTAGAAATCGATTTTTTTGAATCGATACATCAGCTTACAATTCGAATAGGTTTAAAAAATCGAACTTTTTCAGAAAGAATCGACATCCCTACTGACAACGACAATACAAAATAGCGTCAGTTTTACGGTAGCAATTGATATAAATATTGCAAAATAGGTGATTTTCAATTTTTTTTTCTCAAAAAGTACGTATTTCCGCATGTTGGAACTTTGCGTGTATGTTTATAATAATGTACCCTTTCTATAAAAAAAAATATCAACCCCCAACTCAACGGACGTCAATGGAAAGTCGTACCAAAAAAGGTGCTTTCGTTTTATGTTCTATCTCATAATTCAACGCGTTAAACGATAAGGTGATAAGACCTTCTTAATATGAAATTGATTTATCGAGAGTATAGTTAAAACTGAGTATAAACTGATTTTTCAATAATCAAACTATTTACCTAAAGACTATTATTAAAGGTATGCAGGTTTTTTGTTTAAATTCTATGTGGACGGAGTCAACAATTTTTTGGCAATTGCTGCACAATTTGTTTGATGCTCCAAGTTTTTATAAAAAATTTTACTGAGCCAGTGCAGAACACGGACATTACGCAGAACAGAGAACAGTCGCGCAAGTGAAAGGATTCGTGCGTGCGCGTTCATATCAATGTCCAAAAATTTTAATATATTTTGACAGTGACATCGCGCTGCTCTGGGCTACTCTATTAGTCTTCCTTGCCTACGAACAGGCAACTGGAGCAGCGCAGAGGATTGTACCCGTCCTTCAAATATCTATAATTTGTTATTCAAACAGGTTTCGCCACATGTTTTTCAAGCACAATGACGCAGTTAACACCGCAGACAGAAGCTAAGGCACTCACTTGCCGGGCTTGATGGTGAGCGACATGTCGGTGAGCGTGTTCTCGGCGTGCGCCGCGATCCACTTGGCGGTGGCGTGCCGCAGCCGCACGCCCCGCGCGTCCTCCTCCACGCGCGTGGCCAGCTCTTCGTCGTCGTCTTCGCCCGATTCCAGAGGAGCAAGAGTAGCGTTACCTGCAACAAATATTTTCATTCATTCTCACCATTCTAGTGTAAGGGGAAGTTTAAAAAATATTTATAACGTATCAAATAAATATAATTTGATATATCTTATTATATCTAAATATATCTAAGTTGATATAATTTGATACGTGACAGAGCAATGCGGCAGCTATATATATATATATATACTACCTGACCAGACAGACGTTGTTCTGCCCTTTTCGACGACCCTTCATATAAAAAATCATTGTATTCGTAATAAAAAAATATTAAGTGTCACTTATCAGGATAAAAACTATCCTATCTCTCAAGTTGGACCAAACTGCACAGTGTTCAAAATTTCATTGAAATCAGTTCAGTAGTTTAGGAGTTCATCGCGGACAAACAACGTGACACGTAATTTTTATATATATAAAGATAGATATATATATATATATATATATATATATAATATATATATATATATATTTATATATATATATTTATATATATATATTTATATATATATATTTATATATATATATATAATACTGTGGTTGTAACACGAATGGTTCCACTCGACCGGATAAGGTCCACGACACAGTCAAAGAATACTAGTACAAAATAGCAGCCTCATACCCTTTTTACTAGAAACGAGGCGTTCCGTCTTCGTTCTCAGGATTCTGGTATATAAATATGTGCCCTGGTATCCACTTACTATCAGGTGGACTGGGTACTCGTCATTCTTTTTCTGTAAAAAATGAATGAATGGTCATTCTTCTTTAGATACTCACCATTACCCTTAGCTTCATCTTTTTGTTCGCTACTTTCGACCACCTCTTTAACTGGATTCTTTTCATCTGGTGATTGCAGTTCATCTTTAGCTGTTATTATATCTTCTTTGCTTTCTTCTTCTTTTCCTTCTTTTGGTTTTTTCTTGGCGGCTGTCTGTATCTCCGCAAGGCCCGGCACTGGTTTACTTGTATCCTCGTAAAGCATAAAGCTTTGAAGACGTTTAATCGATATTGTTGCTTCAGCTACTTGAGCAATACCTTAAATAATTTTAATATCGTTAGCACGAGTTGTTATTTTGTGATAACTCTTATATTATACTTTAAAAACATTAAAAAATAACATGTTGACATTTTAAAATAAAACCAGGATAAGCAACTTATTCGGCTTATAGTTAAGTAGATTGGAATTTAGTTATTGCCTCTAAGTATAGAAAATGATTTAAAAGCAGAAATCATGACGGAAAACTGAACCTACTTCAGTACGGCGAAGCTACTACAGGCATTGTTTTTAATAAAAAATAAGTAGTTGTCTATATAAAACTAGTTATTACGGATTTTATCGCGCATATTAACTTATTTTATATTCCTCAGGTTTCGAGCACTTTACAGCACTCATGGTCACGGGATTAATCTGGAGGTAGCCGTGGTTACCTATTACATTGGGACCTCAGCCCCCCCCCCCCCCTCCCCGTGACCATGGGTGATGGTAAAGTGCACAAAACGTCGGGAATATAAAATAAGTTAATATACTCGATAAAATCCGTAAAAATAGTTTTAATTAATTGTGTAGTGTACGCTTAAATATAAGAAATCATTAAGTAGTTGATTAGACATCATTCCATGAGTGTTTTAAGAATCAAAGAAATATAGATCTCCCTAAATAGTTTAGCTTCTAGAGGTCTATAAGCCAGACGTAAATTCTCACGTTATTACTGTGTTCGCCATTATGCCTCCTCTACGCTACTCGCGAAGTAGATCGAAGTTGAACGAGGCGAATAGTGTAGAGAGGTACTTCGATTCGCTTCGTGCAACCTCACTTCGCCTCGGGCGACTTCCGTTCGCTGTCGGTTTTTTGCGCCAGAGTCAAAGGACTTCGCGAAGTACCCCGAAGTTACACGAAGCGTCTCACTACACTACTCGGCTTACGCGAGTTATGAATATTTTTTTTATATATAAATATTAAATATGTAGCTTTCTACATAATTATTTATTTAGCAGCTGCCTCTTGAACGTCATTCATGTTAAGGGTGCGGGAGACTCAAGACGACTGAGCTCTTCGCGAAGTAGCACGAGTGTGTGGTCACGTTCTTCGGACTGCGATCGACTTCGACGAGCACTTTGTCGAAGTTACTTCGCGAGTAGTGTAGAGGAGGCATTATACTAGTCGAGCATAGCGATTAAGGCCAATTTTTCCTACTATAGAAGAGTTTCACATACAGTACTGAACTTTAAAATGTTACTTTTGATATGAGTGTGTAAGACTTACCCTGTGGAAAGAACACGGTCATAGTCTGACGCAGAATGTTGTAAAAGCTGGTTACTACGAACACTTGCTTGGCGGTAATGATGTTATTCTGACCCAACACGAACGCTAAGATGGAGAAGAAAAGGCAGATGCGCGTTGTAAACATTATGAACGACGTTAAAACACCTCGTATATACGACGTTGCGCGGATCTGTTTGATTTCCTGTCTGAAACAATAAGAATGCAATGTGGTGAACAACTTGATGAACATAATAACATACAATTTGATGAAACGCATAAAATATTTGCAAATATTACAATGCAAGAATAAAATGGCAATTTAGTTACTTTAGTACTTTTGCTTCATAAAAATATAATAATTATTAACATCTCAATTGCAATTCTTCAAGCTAGAAAAATAAAGTGCGAGCGTTAATTGCTACGTGGTGCGGCGTTAGGTAATAAAGGTCCAACCTTGACCTGCACGTAAATATCTACAAGCGTGCTAAAACATTTAATTTAGATTCTTCGACATTTCTTCATTGATTTATTGTTTCGTCATTGTTGACAACTTCGAGGTACAATAAAACAGTAAACTATAATAACTAACTATACTGCAATATTTTTATTTTTTTATCACATTAATGAAATAAGATTCCTCTAAATCACTAAACACACCAACCGGCCGTCATTTGTTATATGTATGCATCACTAACGCTGGGAGGACTTGCAATAATTACCACGATTAATATTTGGATAAGATAACTAACTACTAGCTCTTCACTTTGATGACAACCTCGGTATATAATAGGGTGGTAAGATTCTCTTGTAATCTCGCCAATAAAACGGTGATGTATCGTCATTACTAACTCAGTAGAAGAAAATAAAAAGAAGAATAATTGATAAGCGATCGGTCTAGGCGTCCGCCCAACTGAATGCCGGCGACTAATTAAGAGTATCGCCCTCTTACTCTCACAGAGTCACAGACTAATTTAATTTCACCATACGGCAATGGCATATATTATATTGTATAAAATATTCTGAGATGTCTAATATATTATCATTTTCAGACGTAATAGAGCCACGCTTAAGCTGTGTTGTGTGCAGCACGAGTAGGTCGGTTCAGCCGCCGGAAGAAATATGCTCTCACAGAATAACTGCGTAAAATAGCAGCATAATGCTGCTACGTAACAGTATAATGTGCAGTAAGGTGAGTGATGAGAACCGGAGAACCTTTTTACTGACAACGACGTATCTATAATATAAAAATGAATCGCTGAATGTGTTGCTAAGCGCAAATCTCGAGAGCAGCTGAACCGATTTTTTTATAGTATTCCTTCAAGTACGAAGATAGTTCTTACGGAGAGAAAAATTTAAAAAGTTGCCTGAAAAAGTCTAAAAACAACACTTTTCTATATTCCCATACAAAAAATTCGTAATAAAACTTAAGTCAATTTGAACTTTAATAGCATACCATAAAGTTTAAGTGTTAGTTACAAAACAATTGAGTGACGTTAGTATCGTATAAATATTAATGTCAATATTTTTCAATATTTATACGATGGTAACATTACTCAAAGGATCGACTGTTAGGCGATACGAAGTTCGCCGGGTCAGCTAGTTTTATATAAAACTAGTCACGTGTTTTAACGTTGAGATAATGTCATTCGCATTCATATTTATAGTTTTCTATTGGCGTTAGCGATTGTAAAAAGTCAACCCGACAGTGGCACTTTTGCTTTTCAAATTCTAAATATTACATTTCTCCAGGTACTTGTATAATACATAAATTTATTTCTCTAATTTCAAAATTTCTTTGGATCTCAATCTAAACCGGGTTCGATTCCCTCCGGCACCAATGAAATTGTTAATTGCAATAAATGCTAATTTACCACATGCTCGACGGTGAAGGAAAACATCGTGAGGAAACGTATATGTCTGAGAAATAAGAAAAAATATTTCGAAGAAATGTGAAGTTCGCCAACATGCAATGGGGCAGCATTTCCTTGCCCTAAAACTATTTCAGAAATGAGAGGAGGCCTGTGTCCAGGCGTGAGACGTATATAGGCTGAACTTTGGATCTCTTACTCCTCAGCACCGTTTTACATTATCACTCCCCGCTGGTTAAGATTATAAATAGTAATTTCCTTACTTACTTTCGCGCTTTAGCCACGAGATCCGCGAACGGTTTCTCCCACGTGTACATTTTGATGACCTGTATACCGGACAGAATCTCATTCATTAGTCGGACACGCTCGTCGGTTCTCAAGGCGGTCTTAAGTCGCAACACAGAGGTTCGTTTTCCAAAGTAAGCTAGAACAAACAAATTAAAATATTAAAAACAAAAGTAGTGTGAGAACGATGTAAACATGGTCTGTGCGTAAGAAATAAATGTGGCGTGGTTCTGGGTATATTTTTATATACCTTTTAAATACGATATCACGAATGACACATCCATAGAACGTAACTTTTTAGGTTTAATATTCGGAAATAGCAACTGTAATAACAACATATTTCCACTTTTTATTTACAATTTAAATAAATTTTTCAAAGTGTAGCATTTAAAAATTTAAAAGCAGTAAATAAGGCCAAAAGAATAGATTATGCAAATAGATTAAAACAATCTGATAATAAAGTAAAATGTATGTGGGCCATTATAAAGGAACGTACTAATAAAACAACAAATAAAATAAAAGAAAATATTGAAATTTTAGTGGATAACCAATATGTATCAGAACCAAAAAGGGTAGCTAATTTATTTAATAATTTCTTTACATCAGTTGGCCACGTCTCAAAAGCAAACATACCATCTCAACAAATACAATCCTTTAAAAATACAAGTACATTAAATACTATGTTTTTATGTCCTGTTAAACCCGAAGAAATTAGTAACATTATCAAAAAATTAAAAAATAAATATAGTTATGGAATAGATGAATTACCACCGAAATTAATAAAAAAATGTGTTGATTCATTATCTTCTCCATTAAGTTTTTTAGTCAACCAATCTTTTACGGAAGGGACTTTCCCAGATAAATTAAAAACTGCTTTAGTAAAACCTATACATAAAAAGGAATCAAAAACAGACACTACAAATTATAGACCAATTGCAATGTTACCTACATCTTCGAAAATCTTTGAAAAGGCAATGTCAAGTAGAGTTTACGCATTCTGTGAAAAATTTAAACTATTTGATAATTCACAAAATGGTTTTAGGAAGAAACGATCAACGACACTTGCAGTACACAAATATATACAAAAAGTACTTGATATTATAAATGAGAAGAAATACGTCGTAGGTATATTATTAGATATGTCCAAAGTCTATGATAAAGTACAATACCCAATACTGTTACAGAAGTTATATGACATCGGTATACGTGATACAGCATACAAATGGTTTAAATCTTACCTAGAAAACCGAAAACAATATGTAGAGATAGTGCATTATAACCATGATAGTGGTGAAATCTGTAACGTTAGATCTGACGCAATCCATACTACTTGCTCCATCCCTCAAGGTAGCGTTTTGGGATGTTTGCTATTTATAATTTACATAAACGAACTGCCTAGGGTATTGAGTGAAACCTCTGTTATATTTGCAGATGACATCTCTATTCTTATTTCACACACAAAAGACCAGAATTTAAATAATAAACTGAACCATGTATTAAACCAGGTCACAAATTGGCTGACACATCACAACCTAGAGATCAATTTTAATAAAACCAAAATTATGCAATTCCGACCAGTTCAAAAATCACCTCTAAGTATCGCTTTTAATTATAATAATACTCCTATAGGAACTGTTGACAACTTCAACTTGCTAGGCCTGGAAATTGACTGCCATATAAACTGGAAAGCACATATAAATAAAGTTAAAAGCAGGCTATCCAGGTTCACATACGCATTACGTGAAATAAAGAAAACCACGGATGTCCCCAGCGCTCTGTCGGCATATTACGCATACACATCTTCGTGGCTATCATACGGTGTCATATTGTGGGGAAATAGTACTGATGCGCAGCAATTATTTATAATCCAAAAAAAAATTATAAGAATTTTGGCAAATATAAAAATTCCAGAAAGTTGTAGGCCCCACTTTAAAAAACTTAAAATATTGACTTTCACATCTATTTATATTTGGGAAGCATGCAAATTTGTAAAAAGCCATCCAGAACTATTTAACAAATTAAGCGACACTAATTACAAATACTCAATTGGACCTAACAAAAATAGGCTAATATTGCCGAAATCCACACTCGCATTACATAGCTCTAGCCCCTACTGTATGACAGCAAAAATTTTTAATAACCTACCAAATTACATAAAAATTCTAACGGATACAACATTATTTTTATCAAAATTAAAATTATATTTAATTGAAAAATGCTTCTATAATTTAAAGGAATATTTTGATACAAATGTTATTTAATTTGTGTAGACAACTTCGACCTTATAATTTTATTTGTTTTATTTAATTATTCTTCAATAATTATTGTTTTTATTTAATTTACTATATAATTTTATTCTGTATATATATATATTTTTTAATTTATTATTATTGTTTTTGTTTACTTAACATTGTGATTATCAATTGAATTAAATTTTTAAAATATTCAATAATTTATCTAATGTTGTATAACTTATTTAAGAATGTAATTTAATAATGTAACTTAATAACGTAAATCTAATAATGTAATTTAATAATAGTACTCAATAATGTAATTCAATTTTTTATGATTGCTACGCCCAAACCGGGTTCAAATGCGGACTATTTTTGAAACATCACATCTATTGATAACCATTTGATTGCAATAAAGATTATGATTATGATTATGATTATGAAAAACTTAAGTTCAAATATAAGTATAAATAATGATATACCGTAATTGCAGTTTTTGAAAATACGAGTAAATAAAGCATCTACTTTTATTCGAAATTATCCCAAATTGAATGTGACCAACAACGTTTTTGCCTACCGATCGACCCTTACGAATGTGTGCCTGCGCAACAAATTAGTTAAAATAATGCATTACCACGCATTTTGAGTTTAAAAGATAAAAAGGGCAGAATTCGTGAGATTTTTTTAATTAATTTTTCTTCACTATTTGCTTATATTACGTATTTTGAACCTTCTCTTCTTCTCTTCTTGAAATTTGACTGGTTATTGCAAAATAACCCTGTTCATAGATCAACTTAAAAATGGTGGAATGACAACAAAAATTAGTTTAATTTTCTTTGATATTTAGTTTTATAAAAACAAAATCATAATAAAATATATTTATTTGTTAAATATATAAATCATAGTGACGGAATCTGATGAATCAGGTGAATTGAATTATTCAGGAAACCGATGCAACGCTGTCGATGCTTTGTTTTGATTATGAACTACAAATACGAAATCCATTTTGTCATTTATGTTCCCTTAGGTTAACGAATAACATCGAAGCTTTATTTATGTTACAATATATATAGCTTTTAGAATTTTTATTTTCTTATGGTCAAGACTAGTATTTTTAAACGCGAACCCTTGTAGAACGAATAGTTAATGTTACTTGACGAGAGAGTCAAAAAATATTGCACTTTGTATTATTAAACATGTCAGTTTGGACAAGAAAACAAAGAAAGTTAATAAATTTCAGTTGATTATGACATTAATGTAAAAAAGGATACTCATAGTTCAAATTTTTGATATCATTACGATTTATAATGTGATGAAATGAAGACCGACAGTAAAATTTCTGATTTTCGTTAAAAACCGTAAAAGTACATTTTTTGTTCTTTAGACCGTATTTCGGTCACGAAGGAGACGGAGACTAGCCATCTGCGCAAGACAGAATTATAGTGCCCGAGTGTATGCGCAAACACAAGTGCACTCTCTATTCTCTCACTATTATACCTAGTCCGATGGGACGGTAATCCAATACGACCGAAGAGAGATCAGGCGCAGGACCAATGACTTTACGTGCTTTCCGAGACACAGGTGTGAAGAAACACTGCCACCTTTCTGATTCGGGCTTACACTGAGAATTTCTTGACAGATAAACCCAATAACTGATTTTGGCCCAACCCGGAATTCGAACCCTGGACCTCATGATCAGTAACCGAGACACCAGACCAACGAGGCAGTTTTTTATATGGATAATGACATGTATGACGTATTATTTGGATCATCAATTTTTACTATTAATATAATAATCATTATGGTGCGGTAATTTTTGCATTGGCCTGTCCGTGTTTTTGATCAATCATTCATTATTTATAACATGGCCTCCCAATATAGTGCTTCACCCCCGTTTACACTCTCGCGCGAGCGGCGAGGCGAGTCGCGAGGCAAGCCACGAGGCGCGAGTGTAAACGCTAGCTCGTGGCTAGCCTCGTCAGCGTCACTCGCGGCGCTCGCGTCGGAGGCGGTTTTTTGGGCACGAGGCAAAGGACCTCGCGAGGGACGCGAGCGTGATGTTTACACTCGCGTCTCGTTTCAGTTTGTTTACGGCGCCCTTCCATAGTAACATTCTAATTGCTTTTGTTTTGAAATTACAATTTTAATAAAATAATGTTATTTAATCTTCCACAATAGGTACTAGTAATTTATATAAAATTATGAAACTGAAAAGGTTCTGTTTCGATGAATAGATAGATATCATCCGTCATATTCTTCCTCGACAACGTATTTTTATTAATTTCCTTCTTTTTAAAATTGTCAAGCATCGATAAATACTTATTAAGGCAAGAGTTGATGGCGCTATTATTTCGACGACTTTCATCGTTGCTGGCTCAACGCAAACCGCATCGCGAGAGTGTAAACAGGCACTCCTTACCTCGTAACAACACGCGAGCTGCGAGGCAAGGTAGGTACGAGACGAGGATCGAGGCGAGAGTCTAAACGCGGTATTAAAGACAGACAACAACCGATTTTTTTATTATCATTACCCTCGTTTCCAGTAAAAAAGGGTCTCAGGTTCTCTACACTCACCATACGAAACACAGCAACGTAAAGCTGCTATTTTACGCTGGTATTTTATGAGAGCGTGGTCCTTCCCCGGTCGAGCCAACCCATTCGTGCTACAACTATACTAGTAATAGTTGCAGCAAGGCTCTACCACGTTATCTATACAAATAAATAAAATTGAAGTGTCTGTTTGTAATGTCAAAATTACAGTTTTTTATTAAATGCATATAAAAGCAAATACGGTAATTATAACTAAAATAGAATTATTAATTTTTTTCTGTCTGTCTGTCTGTTTGTTCCGGCTAATCTCCAAAATGGCTAGACCGATTTTGACGGGACTTTCACTGGTAGATAGCTGATTTCATAAAGAGTAACTTAGGCTACTTTTATTTTAGAAAAAGAATTAGGGTTCCGCGCAAAAACATAAAAACCCTAACACGCGAGCGAAGTCGCGGGGAACAGCTAGTAATAATATATATATGTATCAATTTCCCTGTCGCCTCTTACTACGCCCGCGGGATGATATGGGGTAGTGGATTCCCTTATGTCGCCACTACACGGCACTTATTACTAATATTATCATTTACATTATGATTATCTTAATCTCCACGAATAAAAATTTACTTTTGTAGAAAATTGTGTTGAAGCAGATTATACGACGTGCTATGAAACCCTTCTTGTAATACATCTAAGCCTTAGATTCTAAGGTATTTATATTTTTTGCTCGCTAATCTTTAGCGTTACCATTGTTACGTATACAATAGGATATAACAAAAAATGTCTGCATAATATAACGATTATAAACGTACAAAGCAGTTTAATACGTGTGGAAATTTTGCCGTCGAGCACGACGCGACGACTGTTGTGAAATTATTTTATACTTGGCTTCCGTGCAAAACTGTCGGATTCTATACTGACGAGATTCATTTCAAAAGAAAAAAAATATTATTCTTACAAGCGTCTAGAAATAGAAATGTAACATAAACGAAAGGACAAATGTAAACCTTAGTTAAAGCTTTATAAGGTGCATTCAGTGACAATTGAGTGCGGATGATGAACAAATTAAACACAGTCGTCGAACATACGTTCTTTAAAGAAAGAATATTATTATTCCTTGTGCTGTCCTAGTTACTAGGACCTAGTAGAAGGTTAACGAGAATGTATAAACGTACGTGTTAAAAGGCAACGTTAGATTTTTTTATCTTACGACCATGTTTATAGGTAACCCTAGTATGTGATTGGTGATAGCATTAATATGTATTGCTAAAACATAAATGACTTTTTGTGCATTTCCATCAGTTTAGAGTAGTACTGCTAAAATAAAACAATTCAATTCTTACAGACTAATAACATTAATTTAAACAGATAAGAATAAGAGTCGTGGTAACTCAGGGGCTAAGCGCTCTCTGTGAAATTCACAGTATGCGAGAAACTCGGGTTCGATCCCCGCCGACACCAATGAAATTGTTAATTGCAATTTTAAGTGCTGATTTACTACGTGCTCTGCGGTGAAGGAAAACATAGTGAAGAATCCTGAATGTCTGAGAAACAAGAAAAAATTATTTGGAAGTATCATTTGTCTTCGCTCACACGAGTTCGCCAATACGCATTGGGGCAGCGCGGCGAACATTTTCTTGCCCTAAGCCCTCTCAGAATTGTTTACTTTATCTATAATAAATATATTCACTGCTTGTTTTTCTACAATTAATAGTAAAATTCTAGTATCATTAGCCAATTATAAAATAATAATAATAATCAAGAATCAGAGAAAGGCAAGTTAACCGATTACAAGTCGCCTGGCTGCTTTATTAACGGTTTTTAAATTTTACTTTTTTATAGGATATTGTGACAAACGAACACACAGTCCACCTGCTGGTAAGTGGATGCTGTGGCCCACAGAAATCTACATCTATCCTCGTTTGCGAATCAAAATGCAGATGCGTTGTCAGCCGTGAGGGTTAAGATGGAATGCCTCTTTTCCAGTAAAAAAATGTGAGAAAGAAAGAAGTGAGTCGCTGAGATTGCAGCCGCTACGGGCTCCATTCAACCTTGTTTCAATTACTTCCTTTAACAACATGAAGTACCCTATGCGTTTCACGTGATGCAGCGGCGTGCCGCGGCATCCCATGGAATGTCGTGACGTGCCGCAGCACTCCGCGGTGTCGTGCGAGACGTTGCGGTCTATTCGTGTTGAAATAAAAGAATGTCAGTGCTAACATCATTAGAATAAAGTCGAAAATATTTTGTCCACAAAAAATCCTTTGACACGCCGTACCATGCCGTGCCGTCTGTAAGCGCAGCCCTTAATAGTTGGAAGAAAGTTATCTAGGTTGTATTTCTCAAGGTGGTTTATTTATCATAAACTAATATGACGCTATAGAATATAACAATCGACCACACTCGGATACTCTACGTATTTGCTTATGAAATTTAATTACTAATTCTTTATACAATTAATTCTTTATACAAGAAAGTGCATTACTTTTTATACGTGGTAGAGCCTTGCTGCAGTTATATTAGTAGTATAGTTGTAGCACGAATGGGTCGGCTCGACCGGGGAAGGACCACGCTCTCACATAATACCAGCGTAAAATGGCAGCTTGAGACTGTTGTGTTTCGTATGGTGAGTTAGAGAACTGGACACCCTTTTTACTGGAAAAAGAGGCATTCCATCTTAGTCCTCACGGGTAACGACGCTTCTGCATTTTGATTCTTTATTGAGGATAAATGTAGATGTCTATGGGTCACAGCAATCACTTACCATCAGGTGGACTGTGTGCTCGTTTATTACACTTATTCTATAAAAAAAAATACAAGTTCTTCAAGTTATATAAACAGCAATTCATAATAATCTAATTCATAAGAATGTTTAAATTATTATGATAAATGAAATGACCACTCTAAGAAATTTCAAAATTTCACATAATTTCTTATATGTACTAGGCTACCTTATAACAAACTAAATTATCTGTCTGGTGTGTTCTCAGTCTCAAAGCTTACCTTGCAGAGGAATAAAAGCAAGCATGAACCCGACTCCAACCACCGCCGCCCAGCCAATCTCCAGCCACATGAAGTACGCGATGATGATGGTGGCCAGTGGCCCGATCCACAAGTAATGTAGGAAGATGATAGCCACGTCGAAGCGGTTCACGTCGTTAGACAACAAGTTCACAACTTGGCCGACCGTTGTCTCTCCAAGAGCTGTTTTGGAAAGCCTTAACGACTGTAAAGAAAATATTCGTTTGAAAATATTCATAAGATACGTAGTTTGTAAGAGAACAACTTTTAATTCGATTCTTAGAAATTTTACTCAATTTATACAAAAGACGCCTGTTAATTGACGTATTCTCTGGAAGCGACTTACACTCTATATATAACTCAGAATGTTTTGCTAAACTAAAAAAAAATATATACTTATGGTTAAACTTTTTATTATTAAAATTAATAATTCAAATAATTCTCCGCAAACATCTATACAAACAACAATTTAATATAAACACAACAAAAAATAATAAATCTATATAATGTCCCTCTGTGTTATTACTTTGTCTCTATCTTATTACTTTGTCTTACTCCTCGCTGCAGTTGGATCTTACTTGGTATAAATTCAAGACTCATCACCTGTAATAATTTCGTAAACACGCTGAGAGGAGACAGCATTGGTGAAGTTGAGGTTTGTTGTGCGGCACGTATCGAGAAATTAACCTCCTTATGCGAAGGTATTCGTGTAAAATGTTGTGAAACTCTTCTTACGAAATTCGCCTTTTTTGTGAGTCCACGTAAGTGGTTCCTGTGGCCCATAGACATCTACATTTATCCTCGTTTGCAAATCAAAATGCAGATGCGTTATCACCCGTGAGAACTAAGACAAAATGCCTCCTTTCCAGTAAAAAGGGTGTCCGGTTCTCTACACTCACCATACGAAGCACAGCAGCAAGAAGCTGCTATTTGACGCTGGTATTCTGTGAGAGCGTGGTACTTCCCCGGTCGAGCCGACCCATTCGTGCTACAACTATACTACTAATATAGCTGCAGCATGGCTCTACCACGTACAAATAACGTTTTATATCTCCACTCAAATTTTTAACTGCTAGCACGTTTCCATTCGTAACCACCGTCAGAGGGCGACAACTTCTTTACTCATCTCTTTTTAGATATAAATGAGGTTTGATGTCTATCAAACGATGCGTTCGGCTTTGAGATGACATTTGAAATCGGAAAATATTACCTGCGAAAATCTTTCCGACGCAAAAGCATTCGAAATGTAACAAGATATTATTTCAATATTTTTCGTAAAAATAACGTGGAGGGAAATTCAAAATTGGAACATTCGTATTTTCACACGTAAATATTAGTATTTTTAAAATAAATTATAGGCTGGCCAGTGTTTCATACAAAAACGTTTACTCACAAACTTTTTGCGTGGCAAATTGATGATTTTGTGATTGAACCTACTTTTAGTTTCATGTTATCAACATGGTATTTTTTCCATTGTTGTTAAGTTTAAGTAACAAAACCAACAAGATCCCTTTCAAATACAAGTTTATTTAGTTATAGTAAGAATAAAACTTCGGCCATCCTTATATATTTACGTTATTCACATTCAATGCCAATAACGATATAAATCAATCACATAAATACATTAATATCACTTAATTACTAGTAGGTCAGGCAGCTGTTTTCTCCATTAAATTAATTATTGAAGGCAATAATTTATTATTATACAGTAACATCATAACATAGTCAGAAGTATTACACAAATTGTTCCAACATTATTATTCCTTACCGCACATCACAAGTTCATGGCTGAACTTAGTCCTCCTCTATAGATTGCAACTATTCTAAATACAGTCCCGAGCTACCTGCTTCCATCGACTCGCTTCATTTTTTTATCAAATCATCACTCCTTTGTATTTATCAGTACGAGACTGCCATTCGAGAACCTTTCTTCCCCATCGGGCGTCAGTTTTTCGAGCTGTATGGCCGGTCACATTTAATATTGACGCCCAGTCTCACAATACATTTTTTGTTGACAAATTGGTGTTAAACTTTTAAGTCCTGCCAAAAATGGCAAAGTTGCCACGTTTCACGGAAGTCTAATGTCTGCAGTTTGTGATCATATCCTAGACGGCCCCCGCCATTACATTACATTTGATAAACTACAAAGTCTCGCGAAACAACATCGATCCCTGCCAAGGATGATATTACTATTAAAATTAAAAACCATCCTACTTTCAATAGAGAGGGAAGCTGGGTACTAACTACCACTTGCTTGGGATCCTGTAATTAATAAAATTAAAACTAAACCCAAGCATACCACTGCAAGACTTCAAGACACAGTAAGTTCATTCTGCGTAGATCGGATTAAAACTAATAATTAAAAAGCTGAAGGTACTCCGGGTTAACTCTGACATCGGGACGTCAATCACCTCAGTTCCCCGTGACCATGGGTGTTGTAAAGCACCCGAAACGTCGGGGATTATAAAATAAGTTAATTAAACGCGATAGAATCCGTAAAAGTAGTTTTATTGATTTGAATTGATTCAATGTGTAGTGTTCGCGTAAATATAAGAAATCATTAAACAGCCTACACACACGTACGCGAACACTCCTGGAAACAGGTTTTCTTTTAAACTTACTAGGAGGACCAATCTACTATACTTATATATGTTTAAGTTTGTAATCTTAAAGAAAAATAAGTAATTTATTTATTATTAATTTAATAATACTCAACTTTTCAGACGGTCAAGGTAAATAACATATTTAATAATATGTAACATGTACTCAGCCTAAACATGGAATATGCCTATTTTGTTTTTTTACAAAAATTATTATCTACTGAGTAAATTATGTCAACAGAGGTAGACGTAACAACATAACTAATAAATCCAAAAGTAAATGTGTCAATAAGTATTAGTTCCTAAAGAATTAGTTACAAGTAAGAAGACAAAAACCAATCACAAAACCGCAAACATTTACCTCTATAAGTTTCCGTGAACCTAAGGGCAAACAACAATGTAACACCTAGAACTTAGGTACCTACCATAAAAGATGAGCCGTAATACTCGTTTGGTAGTAACTAACAGCGACAGAATCCGTTGAAGGGAGAATTTATTATCCAGTTTGTCATTATCGTCGTTATCATCATATTTACAGCCCTTCAACAAGTCAACTGTTACAGGCGTCCCCCGAGGAAGGCCACTAATCCGTACTGAGCCACACCTTCTGCACATAATTATGTCATAAAAGAACGTCCCAACATCTAGTTGGGGGGCAGCACTCGAGAACCTCTTTTCCCCATCGGCTGTCGGTTTTTCAAGCTATATGGTCGGCCCATTCAACTTCCTGATCTGTTAGGTTAGATGGTTTTACACTCTTGTTTTGAAGTTTTAAGAATTGCATGACAAGAACATGTGTCGTAATCTCACGAAAGTTGTCTAACCGAATCTATCTAATCTACCTAATTCTAATCTAATTAATATCTCGGTCGACGTTGGACTTACCTTGTCTAACAATTTTTTCTAGATAAACATACCTCCTCGTCAACAACTTCTAGCGCAGTGTTTTTAACAACTACCTTTGTCTTGTTCATGTTCATTTTAAGACCTATCGGTTGGAAAACGAAGACTCTGAGGTTATTTACCATAGTGCTAAGGTCCTCCGGCGATTTTTTCATAATTATTAAATCGTAGGCAGATCGAAGATTTGGAAAAAAGAAATGGTGTATTGATGTTAATGTTGTATTTTTTTGAGTTCAGTACGTTGAAAACGTCTTCTAATACAGATATGAAGAGTTTGGGGGCATAATGTCACCCTTTCTTACACCTCTTTACAGTTGGATAGGTTTCGTACTCTGGTTCTGTAAACAGACAGTGATAGTAGTTCTGGTCAAACACTTATATAACGGAGGCCTAAAGGGACTGAAGCACCGCTCAAATTTCGACGGAAATAAAGGCTTTATCATAGTCCAGATACGCAAGACAAAGTGGCAGATTTTACTCTCCGGTCTTCTGTACCATTTGTCTAAGAGTATGTATGTGGTATACAGTACTAAACATTTTCCGGGTGCTGGAAACTGGCGTGTTCCGGATGCTGGAAACCGGCGTGTATCGGATGCTGGAAGTCGTCAAGTCTATGTGCGTGATGACTGACGATTCGCATTGACTCATGAAAAATAGCACATAGACGCGGTACAGAAAAGTAAATTGGTCTGCAGCTCTTCGAAAGGGTGTTGTCACTTTTCTTGAAGGACAAGACCACTCCACTTCTGCTCCGTGCATCCGTGGTAATGCCATGGAGAACGGAGTTGAAAATTTTCTGAGCGAACTTCAAATACCGGTTTTCTATTCACTTTCAGAAGCTTCGCTGTAATTCCATCCTCACCCGGGACCTTGTCGTTTTTAAGGTGCTGAAAGGTCATTCTGAATAGTATCGGTGATTTACTCTTAGGTCGTTACTCACACTTGTGTGTGGCTCCAAGTTTTTGAAGTTTAAATTAGAGCACACAGACGGCGGAGCGGACGGAAAGGAGACGTGACCTCTACAACTTAACGTTGAGGTTTAATTGTCCTCTGTCACCTTTCGGTGATCGTTACCAGTTTTCATTCTCGCGCGCTGTCACAGACATCACAGAACAGTTGCCGTCTCATCGTCGTAATAAAACCAATCTCATATTTATTCGAACCGTCGTGACCACCAGGTACACTTTCTGTGTTCTCACAGAAAGTGAGAACACAGAAAGTGTAAGTGTTCTTCCTTCTCCATGTTTTCACTTTCTGTGAAGAAGAAGAAGGAAGAACATCATAGAGTTCTTCCTTCTCCATGTTGTAGCTAGCCAGATACACCTTCAGATCACTGTCGTTTCTTATGAATAATTTTGCGTCAAATATTCTCATACATTGCCTCCAACTTTTCACCGGGATATGACAAGGTTAGTGCTAAACCTGACTTTCAACGACTACCGTTTGGTGATTCTAAGTATAAGGTACGCACTAAGCAACCTTCGTAAACACACTTCCGATTTTGAGTTGTTAATGAGAATCTTGTGGGCGATTAATCCGACACCTTAAGGCAGATGGTCGCTCTCCCGATGGTAGAACAAGTTTCTAGTTGCACTCTCTTTGGACTTCAGACGATTTTATAATTTTCTATTTCTTGCTTGCGTTAAATGTTGCCAGATCAAGCCGTCGACGGTGGCATATGAACACCTGCTTGGAGATTCTT